GTGAGTAAGGTAATGTTTAGATGATGCAATGTTTGCATGTAATGTGTAAAATAAATTCACAGTGCACTCAAACATGCAGTAGCAAACTAAATAAAATGGCAGATATACAGAGCCAGGGCTCTATATTATTTTGATTCAAAGCTAATTATGGATTATTAAGTGCACCCACTACTTTATTTTATATTGGTATAAGTCAATTGAATTCACAACCAACGTGGATATTTCACCTTCAAAAATAAATATGTTTACAGATTGATACATATAAAGCTCCTCAGTTTCTTTCAAATACTAACAATCATTGATTCGCCTCTCAAGTTTGAGAGCCCGTTTTCAAGACACGGCTCAAGTCACAACCCTCTCCACAACGGCGCCGGCCCAAAACAAACATTCCTTCCATGTGGCCTCGTGTTTAGCGCTTCCCTGACCTGCCCTGCTGCTGCTGTGTGCGGGTGTTCCTGTGTGTTCGGGGGTTCGGGGGTGTTTGTTTTGTCTGCCCCTATCTATAGCCGAGTCCTGCCCCTTTCTTTCACGGTTAGAGAAAGGAACCACACCCCTCGGGCCTCGGCCTATAGTGCATGTGCGTGTGTGGCGTTTCGCTCTCTTGGGATTTCTACTGCAGTCCCTGTGCTTAAGCAATTGCTACGCGGCACCAGGTAGACATACAGCTACAACGTGACGTGGACACAGGAAGTGGCATACGAGTCACAGTGTGCACTACCTGCAGGCTCACGTGGACACGCACGTATGCAGTTTGTTCACAAAATAGACATACCCACATACGGAAACACATAAAGACCAAGTCAACATGTTAACGCAAGCATACACACAGGCACAAGATTGTGAGGACACGTGTGCATGTAAACAAACAGATGTGTCTTTAGCCAATAAGAATGGAGCTTGAATGTGACCTGTGCATTCCTTGTGAACATTAAACTCCAGCGAGAGCAAAGCCAACCTGTTTATCCCGCGTTGTGTGTTATCATGGGCTCGTCCTCGGTTCAGTGGGGGTAGAAGGCACATACACATAGATGTGGCAAGCATTAAGCCGGATGAGTGCATAAATCAGGATACTGTTGCTTCTGTCAAGGTGAGTGTGTGTAAGAAAGTACCAATATATGCAACCCTCAAGGGTTTATGTGTGCTGGTCCGTATTATAATTTTAATCTGCTTTTGCACATTTTCTGTTTTAGAGCTATAAGACACCTCTATAAGACACCTCTGGAAAACACTGTGTTGGGTCCTTTGTTTAATCAATATCAATATATTGACATTATTTTAGTTTGACAATGTTGTCAGACCAGTTCCATGAGTAAATTATGAGAGGTGAAGGTCTGCACCCTCTGTACAGATTTATCCTATTAGCTGATTACTTTCAAAGTGAATTGACCTGCATGGTGCATGAGGTTGAATAGCGGCCAGATATCACCAGCAGTGATGCACAATAGTTCAATCAGTATGCAGAATACATCCATCCATCCATCCATCCATTGTCAAACCGCTCATCCTGCACGCAGGGTCGCGGGGGGGCTGGAGTCCATCCCAGCCAACTTCGGGCGATAATGCAGAATACATCTATAGATAAATCTTTGCAATGCAAGTTTGCATTTTAAGCGTTTTACTACTACGATATATCGAATTTTATTTTAAATTAGCGCAGCTTTAATGTTTATAGAGCACATTTATTCACATACAATTACAGTACTTTTTTGTAAAACGTGTTTTGATATCCAGACCAATCTGCATTTATCCATTGAATTGCAGGTGTAGATACTCGTCCATTGATGGAACATGAATCCAGCTGGAGGACCGAGTGCTGTGTTCCCTGAAGTGGCACAACGCGGGGTCGGTGGAGAGCCGTGACGTATTTGGGAACAGAACAGTTTGTGTTATTTCAGCGCAGCCTGTGGATGAAGGGCCATTTCACAGGCATTATGGATTAATCTTCAGGATCAAACTAAATCGGATGTTTAACCTCACGTGTCCTAGATCTGAGAAGTCTCTTATGATAAACAAGGATGAAGAGAATTGAATCCCATCCACATAAAATACGTATAAATGTAATAAATGTATTAGAACTGGCTCCTTATAGAAAGATGGAAATATTGTGTTTGTATATACAAATCTGTCTCTGCCATTCATAATCAACTTTATTAATACAATGCATTTGAACATACTGAAGTGTTGTAGTTTCTGAACATTCCCCTCTTTCATTTGATGTATGTTTACCACAAAAACAAAGAGAAAAAGGAAAAACTCTCAAGACTTTGGATAAAGCTATACAACCTCACAAGTGATGGCTTGTTAAAAAAAGAAAATAAGAGACAGTAGTAGTTCAGTTCTATTTATTAATCAACATTATTGTTCATACTTTTTACACAGAAACCCACATTTACGGCTGAAACCTCCCATCTCTTCACGTATTTTAAGCTGGTATAGTGGGCTGGGTGCAGAATTATTACAAAGTTCATTATAACCGGGGCCGTGATTGAGGGGCCTACGTTTAACAGACTTTGTGCATTTTTAGAATTCACAAAAAATTGTATTACATGTAAGAGAGATTTGTTGTGGATATAATAAATTCCCTGTAAGCAACAATAAAATGCTTTACACGTATGAAGTTAAATAAGAACTGATTCTCCTCATCAATGAAACGTTGACAAAGATTTACTGATTTGACTTCAGAAGGATTTTATTAGAAATTAAATTACCGGACCCAGTAGTTCATGCAGTGATGTTTCCAGTCTGGTTCTGACAAAAACTTGTTGCATCATCTGCTGAAACTCTGTCAATCCCCCGCTGTTATTTACTGTAAAGGGACATGAACTATTCATTGAGTGTTATTGTTACAATGTACAGTCATTGTGTGACAGAAATAACATACAGTAGTGACATATAATACATGTGTAACAGAGACATTTACGTTGTGAAAGGTGTGTAAACAGTGGACACGTGAGCATAATAACACTGAGGAGGAATAGATATGGCCTTTAACTCTAACATTGGATATTCTTCTTTGATTTGTGTCAAATTCAAGGTTAAAGTCAATGAAATTGACATGATAAACAATAACCAGTCCAATAAGTAAAAAAAAAAGTAAAATGTTTTTTTTTAAGTACAGTATCTTGAAGAACGCCCACTTGGTTTGAATGCAAACCAGCCAACATCTGGTCAGCAGCCTGTCTCCCAAGCATCACAACACCGTACCACATTTTGGAAATTGAATTACAATATTTGTAACCCAGAGCATTATGTAATGGTGTTTTCTTGATGTCCCTGATCATCTCATCCTGTCGTGTTTGTGAGCATGCTCCTGTGAGATCACGTGGCTTCATCAAGCGGGTCATTTCATTTCATAAATCACGGCTATGTAATAAACTGAATGAAAGCGGTCGTTCCCAGTGTGGTTTAAAAGCCACTCAAAGTCATATCAATCCCTCTCAGCTGCTGTCGTGTTTCAATCTTTCAATGTAACGACGCAGGGTGGACTCATTCCGGGTGATGGGTCACATATTGTGCATGCTGGCTCTGTTTAAAGGATTCCCGTGTGGGAATCGGGGGGCTTTACTGAGTGTTTTGAGTTTGGCTTCCTGTAACACATCCCACTCACATACGGTACATAACGCTTAATTAAATGAGGAAGACAAGACGGAAGTTCGCCCAGGAGATTGTTTGCTGTTGAATGAAGGGAGAGTATGAAGGCAGCATCTTATCTTCACCTACGCAGAGATTAAGGGAACAAACACTGACTAGTTAACTTGTGATGCGTGTTTAATGTGCTATGTAGCGTATCCACTAACTTACTTATTTTTGAGCCAAATAGAGAGTCATTTGAAAATTAAAAGCCACAATTCTATGATCTGTGAATAAAGGGAAGATCAAACTACTCACTTGAAGGAACTTGTCTATGTTCATAGATCACTAATACGTTTAATGACTGAATCTGCCTTTTAATTAAGTGAAAAAAAAAAGATTAATCTAACTCTACAATATTTTGAAAAAAATATCCTTTTAGCAATGCATGTCCTGTTTGATCAATTAGTTCTATAATACAATTGCTGGAAGTCTGATTTTCTCCTTCTTAAAGCATGAAAGCAGTAGTGATGATTCACTTCCTTAAACCATTTTCTTACTGCATGAGATTTGATCTCATTCACAAACAAAACCGAGTCTATTTCAGGAGCCATTATTGAAATACTGACAGTCACTAATTCACAAATTAATTGATTATGGGTGCTCCAACCTGCAAAGAGACCCATCTCCTTCTTTTTCAACTGTTGACCTACTCAGGCCATTTTCTTTGAGGTTCCCCATGTATGCTATAACAACAATTTCAAAGGCCCTGCTGCAAAGGTGTTAGTGAACGGGAAAAAACGCTCTTGAGACCGCCAGCGTTTGACCATTGCCTATTGATTGTTTGCTAGAGTAATAAATATGTATCCCCTTGTTGAGATTTGCAGTGTCCATTATTGTGTTTCATTCAACTTAATTTGATCATTAGCATCATCTTGATTTTTTAATAAATAGCTACATGTGTGGTTTGTGAAGTAACCCACACACCGTGTCTTCCATTACTAACTTTTCATTATTGTGTTTAATAATTATTGTCTAGACAATATACATGTTTTCTGATTACTCTGTGAGACAGAGGGCAGTACTTTGCAGTGTAACACACTCAAAGTGTGCTCTTTTTTAGAGTCTAAGAGGTCTAACTTAGGAAATGAATCGATTTATTTTTGTAGGTCGCCGGAACTTCATTCAATTGTGTATTCATACTCGTGCTTTATACCTTGACTTCAACTAGCCTTTTTCATTAAATGGCGTAAAACTCGAAACAAAGATATACAGGTACTATAGTGTTTAATCGTGCCCGGTGACACGCAATAGTGAGATAAATCAAAGAAGAAACATTATTTCAGTCTCTACTTTATGCGTGCGCACGGCAGGATACGCTGAACCGCTGGAGGTGTTCTCCGGTCTATATAAACGTGCCGCCATCTTAAAAAATACCCAGTCTCTGCTGTTCCGGCCAAGTCATTATTGACTGACTGCGGAGGGAGTGGACGAGGGCTCCTCGCTGACGCTCGCCTTCAACGTTATCGTCCACTTTTTCCACTCCCAAGAGGTGTTTACTCTCCGGGACCCGAGGAGAAGGACTCCCCGTGTTGACAAGGGTAGGCTTCATCGTTTAAGCTCCCGTGTTATACTCCGCTTCTCCCGTCGGTCTCTCTCTGAACGCCGAAAGGAATGGAGCCGTTCGCAGTGCGCGGGGCCGGCCGGGATGCTGCCGCAGCCAGCGATACCGCGGCTTTCACGCCAGATATTTCGGATTCGCCGACCCGGTGGGAACACCGCTGCTCTACAGCCGATGGCCACTGACCCAACGGCTCCCGCGGGTCGGTCGAGACCGCCCGTTTACTAACTTAACTTACAGTTGCCGCTCGCTGGGTGGTCCGACGGTGAACCGTCGCCCCTGCGATTGACGCGCTGACGTTATTCCGGCTTTTTGGGGACCGAACGTCGGCGTTGTGTTCCCGCTTGTTCTCGGTGTCGTTAGTTACGGTTAGCGACGGTTGGTTAGCTTATCGCCCGCTGGCACGCTTTGCGCTGCCGCATTCCACGACTCCGACTCGGGTCGGTTGTTTTGTGACTGGTTCAGCGTTAGCGAAACGGGTGATATGTGGCGAAGGATCAGGGCGTGTTTAGTAACTTCTAACGCGTGTAACGTGGAATGTGTTTTGGAGCCGGTGAAGCAACATTGGCACAAACATTTCCCTCAAAGTGAAGTTGGTCAAACCGAAGCTCATCGGAAACTCGGGACGTCGAATCGAGCACGTTGCTGTATATAATAAGTGGCTAGAATGTAAGTTCACTTTGCGTCTGAAGCCTGTGATTTGCGTTTCCCTCTCGTCGTTTTTTTTTTTTTTTAAACAAAGACCGACAAAATTCCTTCGAGCCCTTGTGCTTTTGGGGAGGAAGGCGAGGCGGAGCCAGCGAGTGAAACCTGAGTCGGTGATGTCGGGGAGTCCGGGGCCGCTCGCAGCTGCGGGGCAACTAACGTGACGTTATTGGGGCAACGCAACGTTAGTGGCGACGTGTCGATCCACTGCGTGTGGAGAGCAACACGCGGGGCAGCCCGATAAAGTTGCACGGCTCGCTGTTTTGTGCTTGTTTTTTTTAGAGCTCTGCTTCGGTCGGTCCCGGTGGTTTTCGTGTGGTTCAAGTGGCACAAGGTGACGTGGTACTAGAGTTGTGTGAGATGTTTGTCTCCTGCTGGAAACGTTTGTAGGGCCGCTGAGGTGTAGCTGTGGGTGGAGGATGGTGACGGCTCATCCGGCGGCTGCACGGTTGTTGTTTTTTTTTTTTTCGGTCACGGAACCTCTGAAACCCAAATGTTTTTAGCTAATTGGTGCGCAGGGATAAGTTTGAAGAACAAATTCAGTCTCCGGCGATTTTAAGCCCCAGAAATAACTGCATTGTCTTTTTAAATTTTATTTTATTGATGCGTTAGATATTTTGTTTACGTCTTTTGGTGAAATCCCCCATCATGTTACACAATGGAAAGTAAGGAGCCAATCGTCTCCTCGCTAAATATCCGTCTAGCGGTGCGTGTTGCGTGGGTGGACCCGACACCGGTAGTGGTAAACCTAATGCAAAATAGTCTTTGAGGGATCTTTGGCCTAATACTGTAATTTGCATTTCCTGACCTTTGTGTTTGCCAAAGGTAATATGCATGTATGAGGCAGAATCTGTGACAATAGAGGTGTTATTCAACCTTTTTTTCTTCTCTCCCGGAAATGCATTTCTGATCAAATCATTGTCGACATCAGGGGGTCCATTTGTAGAAGAAAACAAGCTTAGTGTCCCATGGAAGAATTGGGGAAAGTAAACATCCTATGGAAATTACTTGGCTCATCAGATGTCCTGTGTTGTAGCTGCTGACCCTGCACGTCACCGGGACACTGAAGCCTGTGGCAGCCTCAATCGCTCCACCCGTGCTCCACCCGCGCACAATGCACAGCCAGCATGGGCCATTAACTAATGTGGATGTATTGAACTCTACAGTGTTTTCTTCCACTTGAGAAGAAATAGAGGAGGGGGGGTTCAGCTCTTTTGATGTCCTGTTTTGAATTTAAAAAAAAAGTGTTTTCTTCAACCGGAGCACTGTTACCTCTAACGAATTAAATTAATGTTTAAATGACTGTGGGCCAAAAAAGGAAAATGCAATTTTTAGTGCGTGATTCCAAAATTGATTTATTTTTTGAAAATGACTATTCTGTAAAGCGTAAACCTCCAGGCTCACCTGAACTTGTCACGCATATGCTGACAAAATGGCTTTCTACTTGCCTCGAATTCCACATATGAATACTTTGTCTTTTCACACCTCCTATGATTGGCCTAATAAGTCATGTAACCGAGGAGTGCTTTGTGTTTCTGCTTTTCGATCTGATTTGAAGATGATTAGCAATGCTAGATTTCTCACATGGCCTAGATTTCTTTCCCGCTTGCCCCTAGCTTCTGATGTGATGAGATAATTGGTTAAACTTGGGCCTCTTAGACTGTGTATGCGTCACATTGGCCCTATAATAGCTTATTTTGTTGGTGTTGTTTGGAATGAAGGCATCTCTTGATAGCTGTCAGTCATTGTGCTTAATTTTCCCCTTGCGCAATGTAACACGGATCATGTTGGGAAAGCCAAATGGATCAATGGTGCCTCCTTTACTATTGCATGGGGTGTCTTCATGGTTGAAATGGACTTCTTTAATTTAATGTATATGATTTTCTGTCCTTTGTTACTATTAAGGTCCCAGCTTTGTGCTTCATCCAGTTCTGTGGCTAAATGTTGTGAGTTGTATTCCCTGAGCCCTGAATAGAGCCAGCCTGATGGATTAAATGGGGCCCTTGTTCTGTTCTGTGTGGCAGCAGCATAAGCAAACCCCTCCTAACAAATAGTTGCAGCGTTTCACCTTTTTTTTTTTTTTTGTTGTCGCTTCAGGTCTGTTGTTCACACACTGCTGAACTCTGGCTTTCTGTAGGAACGCCATGTTTTTCATTACTATGTCCAGGGAGCAGACTGAAGGGCTCCCGGTTCTGTGCAGCAGCAGTAAGCCTGTCATTTGGATGTTGACCTGGGACAGAAGGTCTGCGGTTACGTTGCACTTCAAAGGACTTTGTGGGCAATCCATGTTTCTCACATTTATATTTTTTTGTGTTCCTAAAAGATGGCGTGTTTTTAATGACTTTCTATACCTCGTTCAGTCCCTCATACGTCTCAAGCCATGGGACTGTGGTAACTGGTTTGTCGGGTCATTAGTCGTCTGGTTTCAGTTGTATGGCTTTTAACCCGACCAGGCACCGCTTTGCACATCTGGCTTCAAAGAAAACCTTGAGTTTGGATTTTTGTGGCCCGACTGCTGCTAGCCTGATACCAAGACACAAGAAGCGCGTTGCAGTAGGAGTGACTTATGGGCAAGGCTGCTATTTGTGTGTCCCGACTGGAGACAAGGCTTTGCTGGTTTGCCCATTAAAAAAAAAAAAAAAACTACATCTGGCTCTGGAAGCTGCGCCAGTGATAAAGACCCACATTTTCCACTGTGCACTCTGATTGTATGTTGGATTTGTATGCAGCCTTGTATGGGACATATGGCAGCCATTAGGCCAGGGCTGGGTTATGTGAGGGCAGGACGGCCTGCGAGGACGGTGTGTAAATGGTGAACGAGAGTTGTGTGTTTGTGGTTAAAGAATCAGGTTTTTGGGCACAAAAAATTCAGAGCAAATACACTTAAACATGAGTTTTTTCATATTGGCAGCCATTTAACTCCACACTCCCCACATTAACCGGCACTCGGGGCAGAATCAACATTCCTATCGTTTTAAATAGGCAAATGCTGCTTTATGAGTAGTGTTCTCGTTGCGTTCCAAAGCAACGAGGGATGTCATTGTCTGACCACCCTGCAAGTCCCGCTGTGGGCCGCTCGGCCAAAGACGTTTTCCCTTTGGTTTGAAGAGGGAAAAATGACAGCAGGTAGGATATGGGCAAGCGGCGAGATAGTGAAGCGATCTGTAGTTTGCTCATCAGAGACCTGAAAGGTGATTCTCCTTTGAAATAATCAAGGTGGCGACACCGCACGGTGTTCAGACAGCCCGTCTATCTCTGGAAAAGTACCGCCGAGACTCTGCTTGTGATGTAACATTTCCTGTCGGTTTGTAAAACTCGCACACAAAAAAGGCAAAAGCAGATGCATTTTGAAGCGATGCTGATATCCTCACCGTTACGGATGCTGGCTACTGTTGATTCACGGCCTTTGGCTGGATTAAAGATGCCGCTCACAGAACCCTATTTTATGTAAAGTCATTTCACAGTGAATGCATGATTTTGTTGATTCAGTTTTATTTAATATGGTTTATTGTTGAATGATCAAGCTGGCGGTTACCCAGCCGTCGACCTGCTGCGCATTTAGTTCACTTGGGGACAGATGGAAAATAGGTGGCCAAATATTCTTTTTTCCCCCCCTAGAAAAAGTAGGTTTTGGATTATATCGGTTAGTACTATTTTGTAGTGACTAAAGTGCTCTGTGAGATAAAAACATCATGCAGATGTCTTGTATGTTCCTAATAGAATGTATACAGTAGGGGTGGGAATCTCTTGACACCTCACGATCCGATTCAGATTCAGAGGTCAACGATTCGATTCTAAACCAATTATCGATTCTAAACTGATAAAACGATTACTGATGCATCTCGATTTTCAAAATTTTCTCAAATCTGAGTTTGCTACTCAGAGGTTGCTAATCACTTCCTACTTTATTTGACAATTAAAGAAAATCAACAGATGAATTACCTTCTCTAATTTTTTATAAGAGGAAAATAAATCTTTGTCACAAATGATTTTCTATCAACAATGCAAGAACCAATGCAGCTTGCATTTCAACACAATATGGAAGTAGCCTATGTAAAAAAATATTAAACAGATTCATTTTTCTTTTAAATGAAGAAAAAGCTGCTCTTAGTCTCAGACCGGTCCGTATTTGTAAAATACTGGAAAAAGGCCAAATGTGTGAATATCTTGCCAACTTTCAATACGGATCGACTTTTTGGAAAATCAAAATAATGAGGTAAGATATGCGCAGGCTCCTCCATAGTTCAGTAAAGTTGGCAAGATATTCAGACTGACGGACCGGTCTGCGAGCTGGACGCATTGCTCTTAATGTGCCGGTAATGATGGTTGTAGCTGGTTGTCATCTACGGTTACCGAAGGGGGGAGTTTTTTGACGTTTTATCTCTTTCTATCCCCTTACATTATTGCGGAAATGGGCTTCTATAGTTGTGTGAATGCATCACTCCAGCCAATCCAAAGACGGGGTTTGTAACCAATCAGGTGCAGAGACCATGGTGACTGGCTCCGCCCCCTTCCTGTCAAAAAGAAAAACAGCGAGCGCCTAGAAAACACCTTCGAGCGCGAGCAGAGACTAACCTCGCGAGCGAGGATGTTCACGCTCCGCGAGCGAGCAAATATCTCGCGCGAGATGGACTTTTTTTTAAAATTCAGATTATTAACTTTTCTGAATCGAGACTGAATTGTTCTAGAGAGAATCGAGAGAAATCGAAAACTCGCCCCCCACACCTATTATACAGTGTTGTATTCAGCACATAGTTCTTCATGGGTTTTCTCAGACGATGGTGCTGTAACATTATCAACATGGTAACAGAAATCCAGTCCTTTGTTATCGTGTTGTTATCATTAGTAGAACCTCTATACTGGGGGGTCGCGGTGGGCTCATTGGGTGTGACTCCATTTGGGGCCTTTTTTGTTGCCTGGCCAGTTTCCCTTCAGCGTGCCTGTTAAGTTTTAAAGAACTGGTACACCGTGGTTTAAAAGGTTTCTGTCTCTATGCACGGCTAATCTTAACTGAGATATATTTTGTATGTGTTTATTTCAACGACTAAACAGCCCCACTTCTCTTATTAGTAATTATTTTTATTCTCCATCTTTTAATTGTGTGCGTTACTGTCATGGCGTATTTTATTGAGTATGAGGTGTAAATATATATATTTTTTCAATACCCCCCCATCTCCACCTTTCTGCTGCGGCTGCTGGTGTTTACTTTCCTGCAGAATGAGGTTTGGGCTTCAAAGCCAGCTGAAGAATGCGTATGCCCTCCTCCCTTTTTCTTCTCAGCCAATGCTCCACATCCCTTGTCCCTTCCTTTCCTTTCCCACCTAAATAGTCTCTCGCCGCTACATTTAATGGTGCCTTTGTGTGGGAGCAGCTGGCATTTGCATGTCTGAGGGAGTCCAGGAAAGGATAGAAAGTGCCGAGAATTTACTCCTCTGCACTATTTTCTTCTGAACCAAGACTGACTTTGTTTTTTACACTTTGTTTTTCCATTGTTACCTCTGCTGTGGTCTTTTGAATGTTAATTGTGTGCTATTTTACTGGAAGGAAAGGAGTGTTGGTGAGTGGAGGTTAAGCCCGATGCCTCTGAGGCCGCTGCATTCACTGTTTTTTCCTCCTGTTTTCAGATCAGGAAGCTGTGTCGGCTGCGGTTTGAGAAAGGAACATGGCTTCCCAGGGTGAGGCGATAGTTTTCACACACACTCAAACTTTCATCGCCGTGCTCTCTCCAGCTTGATCATTTGTCTCTCTGTCATATACCAACGGTCATTGACTAGTAGGCAATGTATTAAATTACCGTGTCTCTCTGCAGATTTATGTTCTCATTAGAGAAAAGTGAATTAGTTATTGATTTCAATTTGAAACTTTGAGCACATGCAATATCCAACTTGAAATGAAGTGATTTCATCGCTGAATTGAACTATGAATCTGTGGGGAAATGGCAAGAGAAGCAGATTTTTATTAGTGGTTACAAACTAAAATTGAAATGAATGTAAAATACTTATTTGATTATTTTACTAAGCAAAAATTAGATCGTTAACTCCAGTTTCTTCAAAATTGTAACGCTGACAAATCCACTTTTGGTCTTTTGGCAACATTTGGATTTATTGTGCTCGTCTTTGTTGATAAACTCTGCTCTAATGTTTTTTTTTTTTTCTTTATGTCCACCACCAATTTGTCTTTCCAGCTGATCTGATGGAATTGGACATGGCCATGGAGCCGGACCGTAAGGCCGCCGTCAGTCACTGGCAGCAACAGTCTTACCTGGATTCAGGCATCCACTCAGGGGCCACCACAACGGCCCCCTCTCTCAGTGGGAAGGGCAACCCCGAAGAAGACGATGTCGACAACCAAGTCATGTATGAGTGGGAGCAGGGCTTCAACCAGAACTTTGCCCCGGAACAAGTGCAAGGTGGGTCATAATGGCTCCAATTGATCTGGTCCTTTGAGGAAGACGCTTGGGATTCATGGTGCCGTTAGGGCCACAATCTAACAACACATCTGTTCTTGTACCTCTTCTAGACATAGATGGTCAGTACGCCATGACACGTGCACAGCGGGTTCGTGCAGCAATGTTCCCAGAGACTCTTGAGGAGGGCATGCAGATCCCCTCCACACAGTACGAAGCAGCAAACCCCACCAATGTTCAGAGGCTGGCCGAGCCCTCGCAAATGCTCAAACACGCTGTGGTCAATCTGATCAACTACCAGGATGATGCAGAGCTGGCAACCAGAGCGATACCGGAGCTCACCAAACTCCTCAATGATGAGGACCAGGTAGTTGCCCATAACCTGTGCCTGATTTCCGGCTTTGAATTGTTTTTTTTGTTTTTGTTGGGGTCATTCCCTAACATGTACGCCTGTCCCGCCAGGTTGTAGTAAACAAAGCAGCGGTGATGGTCCACCAGCTGTCAAAGAAAGAAGCGTCTCGCCACGCCATCATGCGCTCGCCCCAGATGGTGTCAGCCATTGTCAGGACCATGCAGAACACAAATGACGTGGAGACGGCTCGCTGCACCGCAGGAACTCTCCACAACCTGTCCCACCACAGAGAGGGTCTGCTGGCTATTTTCAAGTCAGGAGGAATTCCGGCTCTCGTTAAAATGCTCGGGTATGTGTGAGGAGGATGGAAGAATTTCCCATTTTTTGATGTGCTTTAAGTCACCAAGAAGGCAGAAAGCCTTGTGATGGGATGTTTACACTGTTAGTGGAAACGCTTTGTTTTGGCCCAAATCAGAAAAAGCACAACTGTTCCTCCTTGCTGGTAGAATAAAGCTTCTATTTGACACGGTAGCCTATGAATTGTGTTAAGAGAAACATGAAAGCTTGCATCTGTGTGCAAACTAATCAAAGGCTGAGGGGGAAGGACCTTTTTGAGAAACCTAATCAACTACATTTCTATTTGGGGATATTTCCCAGTGGGACAGTAATCTAATTAGCCTCTGTTTGTTCTGCAGTTCACCCGTCGACTCAGTCCTGTTCTATGCCATTACTACTCTCCACAACCTCCTCCTGCACCAGGAAGGAGCCAAGATGGCTGTGCGTTTAGCTGGGGGCCTTCAGAAAATGGTGGCTCTGCTCAACAAGACTAATGTCAAGTTCTTGGCCATCACCACCGACTGTCTCCAGATACTGGCCTATGGAAACCAGGAAAGCAAGGTGTGTGTGTGTGTGTGTGTGTGTGTGTGATAAATTGGTCTCTGCTTGAGGCAAAGTCTCTTCTCAACCTGCCACTTGGTCCACATCAAATCCCCTAACGTGTGTGGCGTCTCTTGTGTGTAGTTGATCATCTTGGCCAGTGGGGGCCCGCAGGCACTGGTCAACATCATGAGGACTTACACCTACGAGAAGTTGTTGTGGACGACGAGCCGCGTCCTCAAAGTTCTGTCGGTCTGCTCCAGTAACAAGCCGGCCATTGTTGAAGCGGGTAAGTTTGGCCTTCTGAACAATTGCATGAGTGTTGACATTAACATGTTTGCTGTGTTCAGATTCCTTCTGCCTATTTAAAATGTTTAGTCGAGCATTTGGGAACATATGTTTAAGTGACTTTTTGGTCCGTGCAGATGTAAACAACCTGTATCTTTGTCCCTCTGTCCAGGAGGCATGCAGGCTCTGGGCCTCCACCTGACGGACCCCAGCCAGAGACTGGTTCAGAACTGTCTCTGGACTCTCAGGAACTTATCAGATGCTGCCACCAAACAGGTGATGACAACTGTCCTTCGTACAAATATTAATCCTATTTTGTCTGAGAGTAACTCAAACTTTTTTGTTGTTTGAAATCCATCTCTACCAATTATTCTCCATGTTTTTGATTCTGCATACCAAGCTGTCCTCTCATGCTCACTTCACGTTTGTCTTCCTCTCCAGGAGGGGATGGAGGGTCTCCTTGGAACTCTGGTGCAGTTGCTCGGCAGTGACGACATTAACGTGGTGACCTGTGCTGCAGGCATCCTGTCTAACCTGACCTGCAACAACTACAAGAACAAGATGATGGTCTGCCAGGCGAGTACACGCATTTACTGTCTTCTTAGTGTTACGACCAGACTTTGGCCTTTCCTAATTTAAATTTTAAGATGTTATTAAGCTCGTATATTGTACCCTCTAACGGTAAACATGATGCGAGCGTCTCTGGTCTCCATTAATCTGTTTCTTTGTAGGTCGGGGGAATTGAGGCATTAGTTCGCACAGTGCTTCGGGCCGGTGACAGAGAAGACATCACAGAACCCGCTATTTGTGCCCTCCGTCACCTCACATCCCGACACCAGGACGCGGAGATGGCTCAGAATGCAGTCCGACTGCACTACGGCCTCCCCGTCGTCGTCAAATTACTGCACCCACCATCACACTGGCCGCTTATTAAGGTAATCGCAGAGGCATAAGCAGCTTATCACTCTGTCGGCCCGTTGGGTGTCTATTGGACAATTAGAAGTGGCTAAAACCTGTAGAAGAAGCTCCGTCTAATCTCATAAGCACCTTTTGGCTGTGGCTTTGTGAAATGTGACTAGTGGCTGCCTAGTTGCCGTTGAGTCCCGCCTTAATGCCATTAACACGCGTCGCTCCACAGGCTACAGTCGGTCTGATCCGTAACCTGGCTCTCTGCCCTGCGAACCACGCTCCTCTGAGGGAGCAAGGCGCCATCCCCCGACTGGTCCAGCTGCTGGTCAGAGCACACCAGGACACACAGAGGCGCACCAGCATGGGAGGCACGCAGCAGCAGTTTGTGGTGAGTGGTCATATCGGACATGCAGAAATCTGTCGCACAAAGTCTTCCTAAAGATGTCAGATTAGCTGGTGGTGGAGGGTCGAGGGGCTCCACGCTGTTTGAACCTGACGGAGTGCTTGTCATTAGGAGGGAGTGCGTATGGAGGAGATTGTGGAGGGCTGCACAGGAGCACTTCACATCCTGGCCAGAGACGTCCACAACAGAATAGTCATCAGAGGGCTCAACACCATTCCACTCTTTGTACAGGTAAAAAAAAAAATCTCTGCTTGTTGCCTCCTTTCAGACAATTTGAGTACTGCGAATGCTGAGACTGTTTGTTTTTCTTCCTGTGTGCGTGCAGCTGTTGTATTCCCCCATTGAGAACATCCAGCGTGTAGCAGCGGGCGTCCTGTGCGAGCTGGCTCAGGACAAAGAGGCTGCTGAGGCCATCGAGGCTGAAGGAGCCACCGCACCGCTCACTGAGCTGTTGCACAGCCGCAACGAAGGAGTTGGTATGTTGGCAAAAAAACACCCCACCACCCATAAGCGATAATGCTATGCAGATGTTTCGAAAATCCAGTGCAGCTGAAAAAACTGTTCTATTTAAATTTGTATTGATGTCAAGTGAGGGAACAATTACTGTAACTACGAGGCTGGAAGGGGCCCCTCTGCTGTAGCACTGCGGTTTGGCAGCAAGTTTCTTTTTGACTGAACGCTGCGTCTCTCCTCAGCTACCTACGCTGCAGCAGTTCTGTTCCGTATGTCTGAGGACAAACCCCAAGACTACAAGAAGCGTCTCTCTGTAGAACTCACCAGCTCGCTCTTCAGGACTGAGCCAATGGCCTGGAACGAGGTATGAAAACATCAAGACTGCTGTTTTCAAATTGCTTAACTGACTGTAAATCCAATCCATGTCCACCTGTGTGTTGTTCTGCAGACTGGAGACATAGGTTTGGATATTGGCGCACAGGGAGAGCCTCTCGGCTACAGACAGGAAGGTAAGGCGCCTCTCTTGTTGGACTCCCATGACGACCTCAGGAGGGGACGTGAGCATTAGTCCTTATAAAATCTTATAGACACACTGTGGCCCATCTGATCCTCCCAATTATTGCAGAGGACTGGATTTGCAGTGTAACAGGAATCAAATTGGCGAAGGGCAATAATGCGTTCAAGTTGAGGCTGGAGATCGATTTTCTCGCGGCTCTAAGAAATGGGGGGGGGAGTTTGTTAATCGTCAAATTGTCCTTGGACTTGGGGCTGCGTACTGATCAATAGGCAAAGAGTCCAGAGTGGGCAGCTTATTTTTAATTTAGCGCCGCGGTCGAACCTTTACGCGGCTCTGGGCCAACCTGATGAAAGCTGAGATTCTGCTGTTCTTGGAAAACCTCGGCCACGGCAGATGGATTTCTGTTGGAGGAAGAAAACCAAACCCAGTGAACTGCGGGGTTCAGTTCAAAGTTCCTCACAGCTGTGGTTTTGTCTGCTGGAGGCTGGTGGTGTGCTGTGTTGCGTTTGAATCATCATACTACTGTGTGAAAAGCTTGGTTTGTTAACATGCTTCTAACAGCTGCTCTGCTTCCCCGCCTCTCCCTCCCTCCCCCATCCATTCCCACAGACCCAAGCTACCGTTCCTTCCATTCAGGGGGTTACGTAGCGGACTCGATGGGTATGGAGCCCATGATGGACCATGATCTGGGCGGGGTCCACCACCCCGTCCAGGACTACCCCCCTGTGGATGGGCTGCCTGACCTGGGACACGCCCAGGAGCTGATAGAGGGTCTCCCACCCGGAGACTCCAACCAACTGGCCTGGTTTGATACCGACCTGTAAATATCAAGCCGACATTGAACTTCACTTTCTACTAGGTGAGAACATCTTCACTGTGGCTGAAAAGTACTTGTGTGAGGAGGGAGAGGAGAGAACTCACTGTGGCTGCTGCATGTTTAGACGGCTCCACTAATTGTGACGCTGTGTTTGATCTGCGTGTGTGTTTGATCCGAGTGTGTGTTTGATCTGTGTGTGGTCTTAACCAACATCTGTGTTGGTCTCTTCTCTCTCCTCCTTCTCCCTCCTCCTCCCTCTCTATCCGTCCTTTGTAGCTGTATCATGTGATCTGGATGAACCTGCATTGTGATTCGCCCATATGGAGGAGGCGGGGTTTCAGAAAGTGCCTGAAGAAGACTCAACAACAGCGAGCAGTTTCCTGTCGATGGGAACTCCATTGGGACAAACTAGATTTAAGTGCGGTTCTGGTCTCGGCCTGACGGTGGGCTGATTCAAATCCTGACATGACACAGATTCTGATCTCAATTGGTTTTTGAAAGATTCTTTTATGTACTATTTTTTTCATTTTTTACCCATTTTGTTTTCCTTTTTCTCCCCTCAAGTCTATAATGGTACATTATTCTAGTTTTTTTTCCACTATCCTGTATAATGACTCATCTGTTTTTCCAGCCCTCTTGTATTTTAAGTCTCTTGTAGTGTTGAGGTTTTTTCCTTTTTTAATGGTAATGCTCCATCCAAGTAAAAAATCTGATCACATTTTAAATGGTGTCCAAACACTAAAGTTAATCAGTTGAATTGTATTCTGATGAAGTGTAACATTGTGTAGCTTTTGTATAAAAAAACAAAAACAAAAAAACATGAATTGGAAATCATGGTCCAAATATCAAGCTATTTTCTTGCTTTAAAGGTGGACACCGATGTGTCTGTGCTGTTCCAAAGGGGGTGTAGCTGACCTAGCTGGATGGGTGTGGCTGGAGGAGGGCTCTTATTGGTCTACTGTTACTAAGGGAAGGTGGTAGTAAGAGGGGCTGGTTGCTGTAGCCTGCTGTGTTCTGAAACAATAAAATGGACATGTCATTTCACCCGGACGCCTCTGCGTCTCATTTCAAACACCTTAAATCCACCAGGACATGACGCTTCGTGGAAGACCACGCTGATTTTGGTGTCACGTTTCAGTAGACTAGACCAATGGTCACTGTGCTGCTATAATACAGCGTTAGGACTTTAGTGGAGGTAAAGCCTGAGAACCGCTCTGACCCTCCGATCAAGTAGCGGTGTGATAAATGCAGCCATGTTCCTTTTGGACCACAGTAGCTAGGAAGAGGCTGGAGAAATTAGGGACTCTACCAACATACTACACCCTGTTGAGGATTCTGTGACTTTGCTGCAACTATCAGGCCTGTAGATAATCACCCGGTGTGTGTGTGTGTGTGTGTGTGTGTGTGTGTGTGTGTGTGTGTGTGTTTTGAGAGCGACCTGGAGGCCGTTCACCTGTGACCGCATGCTTTGATTTGGCAGTCTGCAATATCTAACGATGCATCCCTCTACGTTGATCCGATTTGCAGTGATCTGACAAACGAAGTTCAAATGAACTCTGGTCTCTAAAGATTTAGTGACCTGTCTTAGCTGTTTTATATCCAGTCACAATATAACAAAAGATCCGGCAAGCGACAAAGGTCATTTTATTCTAAAACTGACATCTTAAAGGAACAATCCGTAGCTGATGTAAAGAGGTTACCTGAAGATAATTCCAACAGCCACTTTATGGTTCTAAGATGACATGTTGGACGGCTGTGGTTTGCTTAATCTTTAACTGAAATGTTCTGGTGTCCAGAGATCTCTTGGAGGATTTCCGCAGCAAGTGGCGTCACATCGACTGGGCACCTGTGGGAGAGAAACAAGTTTTTAAACTAGTGACAAAGGAAAAAACGTTTGCGTAAAATTACATTTTGTTAAACAAATCAATGGGAATTTTATATTTCTTACTATACTTTGCGTCAAGTATTTTCAGGACCGTTTTCCAATCGTACAATATTTCTTTTCAACGACTTTTATAACATGACCTTTTAACACATGCTTTTATTTGACTTTTTTGACATGGAATTTGTCAACATGCTACTGACTTTTTAATTATAAATGTATACTCTCCTAAAACCGATGAGTTTACTTTAAACAATTTAATTTATTTGAATACGTGTGCGCACACAGATGGGGCGGGACGTTGAGCAGTCGGACAAGAATATATTCACGTTCTTCAAAAATAGAAATGTGGTTCAGCGATACCGCGGCCGTGAACCAAGAATGGACTTATGTCTTGAGTCTCCCCTGAGGGGGAAAACCAGCACGACTCATGGGTTCGGAGACTGGGATCAGTATTAAAAGGTCAATGGGAAGTGACCCTACGAGACAAGGCACAACTCTTGAGAGCAAACGTTCCCATTCGCCATTCAACATGGAGACCAAGATGATCGATACGTTTCGTTTCACTGCCCAACAATGCATCTAAAAAATAATTCCAAAAGGACAAACTTTTACAGGAAACAGTTTGACTACTGTCGTGACTATCCATTCATACATTTAAAACGGGGTGGATTTTACTGTAATTGAAGTCAATGAATCTACCAAAGAGCTCCATTACATCTTAATTTAGCGTGGGAAGGTTGCAGTGAAGAATTACGCTGCTGTGAAGAGTGAATCCCGTCCGGGCGGCACGGTTCTCATTCAGCGGCTGATGTTCTCTTGTTAATGTGTATGTTGCCATGGAATAGTTTCCATTTAAGAAGTTACTATGCACATTCTACAGTGAACTATGTCTATAAATCTCGAAATCAAAAGTAATGCTTGATAACTACCCAAAACCAAAATGGAGCGATATTGTATACAAACATGACGAGCTCAGACACAAGACAGGATGTAATCTCCCTCCTCTCCTCCCCTCTCCCTCCAAGATCAACCTGACAGCGAGCAAGCAGAAGCTCTCCCTTTAGTAGATTAAAACACAATTAGCTTAATTACCAGCGCTCCCAGAGGCCTTGGAAATCCTTAAAAGTTGTTGGGTACAGAAAACATAAATATGGTTTATGAAAGTTTAAAGACATTTAGAGTTCCGTTTACATGAAGTCCCTGTACTTAAATGGACACTAAGCAGCTGCTCAGAGGACAACAGAAAATAAAATAATTGGTTTCAGATTACGGTGAAAATGATTATATATATATATATATATATATATTATTACAGAGCAGAGTTAGACACACACTGAGCTCACAACAACACTTCGAGCCAAAGAATGGGATTGGATTCATGTCTTGACGTGTTCCTCTAAAATAAACAGAAATAAAAGGCCTGACCGTATGACATCAGTGTTTTTTTAGTGCAATTGAACAAAGCACAGTTATAAAATGCACCTTTAGCAGAGGTGCGCTATGGCACCCATCTTACTGCACTCCGCCTTTACTCCAAACCCTTCTGCACATAACACAAGATCCTGATAGTGATATTTAATCTTATTTTCAGTACGTTGAGTTCTTCTGACCGCTTTGTGTTTGGCTGAATGCATCAATCAAGTTGAGATTGGGTTTTAGAGCTCAAGGCTTTTCTCCAGCATGGAGAGCTGTGAGTGATGCCCCCCCCCCTCCTCTACACTCGCTCACGCTTGAGGTTTGAAAAGGCATTCCTCAGGTTGCCATGGTAAAGGCTGAATAACATCATTTGGGTTGGGATCTCAGCCCAGAACTTCCCACTCTTTTTCCATCTCCTCTCTCTGGCCCAACCATCCTCTCATTTACCCCCCCCCCCCTTCCCTCATAACTTCTTTCATCTCCTGCCCTTTCTCCTAAAACCTCTGCTCCCCTACTTCTACAACTAAACCAGTGGGAGTGTGCCCGTCGCAACCACTTCCAAGGCCGGGACTGATCTCTGCTTTCATCTGCCAAAAAGGGAGAGCAGAGAGAGGGAGGAGGGGAGGGGAGAAGTAGGAGAGGGAAAGACCACGAGAGCAGGAGAAAGAAAGATGCAGGGGGGAGAGAGGGATAGAGGGGGACAAAAAGGGAAGAAAAGGGGTGAACGAGGAGAAAAGGGGGGTGGAGGCAGTGGAGAGTAGGAGGGGCCTCTATTGCAGGACAACAATACACCTTTATTACGGATCGGACGCCACCTGTGTGTGATTGAGAAACAGAGAGTTTGTATATTGAAGGACTGAAAGCGACTATTTGTGTGTATTCCTTCTGTGTTAGTGTGAGAGAGTGTGAGTTTGTGTGTGTGTGTGTGTGTGTGTGTGTGAGAGAGACAAGATGCGAGTCTGACACATAAAGACATCAAAGGGAGGAGGGTCGCCAGGGCGACAAACCCTCGGCTTGAAGAGGGAACACACATGCGAGACCATATACTCATAAAAGGCAGCCGGGTACAAAGATACAGCGGAACACATGAACGCAGACAGAACCCGCCCGCAAACATGTTGGCATCTGTGTGGATATCAGCTCTTTGAAGGTGCCGTGAAAAAAGATGTGCCCCTTCCTGCTCTCTTATTGTATTTGTCACAATTAAATGATGTTTTATATTAATAAAATATATTCTGAGTAAATGCAAAATGCAGTTTTTAAATGCTGACTTCATTTATTAAGGGAAAACAGATATTCAAGCCTGCATGGCCCTTAATGAAAAGGTAATGGCCCCCTAACTCTAATGACTGGTTGTGGACCCTCGGAGGCAACAGCTGCGATCCAGTGTTCCACATCGCTGTGGTGGCCACGTTGGATGGTTTGAGCCACCACCGCCATGTGTGACTGTTTTATGATGTGGTTTTTATGAAATGCTGTTTTTACCATGTCTCTTTGTTATCGTCAAGTCGAGGACGAGTCTGACCTACAGGTCCGATATTGGTGACGTGGTGCGGATGGAGCTCAACGCCCTAAAGACAGTGGAGATGGTCCCCCGCCCCGTCACCGCTGTCCATCCGTTTCCTGGGCTCCATCATATCCCACGACCTCCAGTGGGAGCTGAACATTAGCTGCATCACCAAGAAGGCTCAGCAGAGGCTGTTCAACCTGCCAAAGACGATGATAGTGCACTTCTACACGGCCATCATTGAGTCCATCCTCTGCTCCTCCATCACCGTCTGGGACGCTGCAGCCACAACCAAGGACAACAAGGACGAGGGAAGGCATCCACTCTGCTGAGAGGACTTGTTTGCTTCCAGGATTCTGAGGCACACATCATTTTAAACTACCCTTTTCACATAGGTGAGGTAGGTTTGGAAAAAAATACCTTTAATAACTGAAATCATCATTAAAAAACTGCGTTTTGTATTTACTCAGGGGATCTTTGTCTGATATAAAACATTAAGCATGACAAATATGCAAAAAGTAAGAAACCAGGTAGGAGGTTTAGTTATTTCTCTCTCACACACATACATATATATATACACATACATATATATACACACACACACACACACACACACACACACACACACACACACATCGTGATGCAGGCGATGTTTCCTGCCAGTGATATGAGATCCCCCAAAAAGACGTTTGTTTTTAATATATGTATACATTTCATCTGTTAGCTCTCTGTGATTCATTAAGCTGACAGAAGCTTGCATCCTAGGAAAAAACTAGGAAAAGGTCAGTTTTGTAAACCAGAACTGTTCAGACATGAAAATAATAAAATGACGGAAAAAGCTTTAGGAAACACATTTAGAAGCAGAACGATTTGTTTTCCTTGAGGTATGCTTTCAACATTGATCTACACAATACCAGAATCTTAGCGCTTTCCGCAAACAAATGTAAATTTTTTTGTTTTGCCACAATTTTTAAACAAAATTATGTAAATTTTAGATTTATCCAAATAGTCTGTTGACTCAGAATAGAAGGATGAAAGAGATATTCCAGGATACATAAATAAGCTATATGACACAATCGCATTCAAACAGCAGAAGCACGCACCTGTTGGACGTAGTTATGTCCTGCAGTAGAACAATTAGCTCCGCTGCTTCAGGACAGTCCGACCAATCAGATCGCTCTGTAGTCTGCACCTGGAGCGAGAGAACAAAGTTAAGGCTGGCGCATGCTTCTGCGCCTGCGTCGTTGGGGCGACGCACTCGTTTCAATTCATGGTTCTAAAAGTCTTGCGTGTGTTGCAGAGCAAATTCCCGGCAGAACAACAGGTGGAGTAACGTGTTTTTGTTAAAGACGACCTAGAGAGTCACGTCTATTAATTTATTTGTTTATTTATTAAAACGCAGAAGCATAAACTAGGCTTTAGTTCACTGACCCGGACTTGTGCGAACTCCCTCTGGCGAATGCTAGGCCTACTTAGTACTTCAACGTATTCAGTGTGGAATGTCAGACGGTATTTGATTTACTTGATAAGTATGACGTAATAGTTAAATAAAATAAAAATAAAAATAAATAAATTAGTCCCAACACAATTCCATTACTGTAAAAAAAATGATGGCAGATTTGGACTAGGAGGATTAGCTATACGATGGTTGTTATTGTTGTTGTGGCACCAGGAGGTGGGAATCTGGGAGCTCTGATCAAACAACGTATAGTGCGCCTGGTCTACATTGCATTCAGGAAGCGTCTTACTCCACTCCGCTAGAAATGGAGCATTATCTTGGCGTACAACTACATTATAAGAACCGCTGGTGTGCGTCAGAATCCTTTGTAGTAGAGTAACCGACGACTGTGATGTCACACTCAATGTCATTTAAATCTACATTAATCAAATAATTTGCTATAAAAACACTCACACACTTACATACATTTGTATTTATTCATATTCTTTGCCAAGTTGGTTGACAGTTTGTTGTGAAACAAAATAATACATTTTAATAAATAGTTATTAAATAGTACATATTTCTGTGTGCCCGTGTGTACGCACGCGTGTGTGTCGTCAGCGCGTTTGCTGAACGAGTTCTCCATGATCTCGGGTGACATCATCACCGTTGTCTCTGGCGACAGCACGGTTGTTGCTAGGCAACGGGGTTAGGAGGAGACTAAGAGGCTCCGCTGACTCGCTTACTTTTCCAACACACACCAACAAGCTAACCAACCACTAAAAACACCCACTTATCATCCGCTATTCATTCCTGCCCTCCACCACGTCTCTGCCCTCGTCTCTACCTGACCAACACCCTGACTCCATGACACTGAACAACAATTCAGATGAGAAGCGCACAGAGACAGAAAGACGGAGATAGAGAGACAGGGGACAGCTCAAAGGGAAAAAAAGGACCGGAGCACGACGACATTTTGCTAAATTAAAGGCTGAATGTTAATCAGTGAGTTCCTGTCCCTCTTTTTCTTTTGGAAATCTGCTGTCCTCGTACCGGGGGGGGGGGGGGGGCACATGACTCAGCTGCAGATAGAGAGATATAGAGAGAGAGAGACAGACAAACCAACAGAGACAGAGAGCACAACCCCCCCCCACACTTTTTCTGAAGGATTGATTGATGGCTGATGGATCAACACATTCCATGTTTAACGGTCCAAACATGAAAAGTTTGAATAATTCATGTTAATTGAATAACATCAATTTTAACTTTGCGTCAAGATATTTTAGCCTCCAGAGATGAGAGAGGAAGAAGCTTTTTAGAAGCAGGAGTGGGATTAAAAAGCAGCGTACAACATTGACTAGCGCCTGCATGGCCTCAAGGGTCCAGGTTTGTCAAGGAGTAAGAAAACACAATTCACACAAAAAACTGCAGTATAATACATTCTGCTATAGTACCTGAGGTAGGCTACTCAAAACAAGTCAAAAACATTTCAAATCAAACTTCTTTGAAAGAAATAACTTTCATTTAATTAGCACTCCCCTTCAAGTCATTCCAAGTTGTGTGAGGTGAAAAAAAGGATAAATTAAAATTTCCACTGATTCAGACTGATTCATTCCCCCTCTCTCCTCCTTGGCAGTTTCCAAGCTATTAGCAGGATCTTTGATTGAGATTAACAGAGCCTTGAAATCAATGAAAGGTAATTAAAAAAGCCTTTGTTGAAGGGCAGACACTTACCTACAAATGAGAGTGTGTGGACGTGTGCATCATTGTGCGTCAGTGAAAATGTGTGTGTTGTGCATAATGAATGTCTATTGCATTGAAAAAAACTCAATTTACGAAACGGTTTTAAAATCTTGATTTAACTGTCTTTAAAATGACTGGACTCCAAAGAGGGAAAGGTAAACGGTGAGGGAAGAATATAGTAACTTAACCATTTAAGTCTCTTAAATTACCAGATAAAAGAGTTCTAACCTTAACACTGAGCCCCTCAGTGACTCATCCACTAGCTACGAGGAAATGGCTTTCTACGAGAGGACAAATGTGCTACTACAGACACAAAAAGAGACAGAGGTTACTCGGTGGGCTCGTGTGTGTGTCAGAGTTTGTGTGTGGGTGGTTCAGGTGGCTGCAACTAATTAGGGAGAAGCAGAAAAATAATAGCGAGCAATTCTCCCTCTCCCTTACACTTACACACACACACACACACACACAGACACACACACACACACACACACACACACAAATTAAGAAGCTTGCAGGCAAAGCCTTCAGTAAGGTCGTATGATCTCAGGGCGACAGTTGTCCTTGTGTCCAACATGCAGAAACTTTTTGTCATGACCCTTCGGCCAAGCCAAAACACCACAAACGCCTTTTTAATATAATTTGTGGGATTCAAAAGAAAATTTGCCAATTTTTCACGTTCTTTTTGAGATACATTGTCTCTGGATCACCAACCCGGCCATTCTTTTACTCATCACTTTGCTATCAAGAAACTGCCGCTGCATTAACGCTCAATTTTCTCCACGTGACCTCAGCTGTTGTTGTTCACTTTTATTTTGGGGAACACAAGCTTCACGTAAACTCAAATCTTTGGCCTGTATCACTGTATTATTATTATAATTAGGCTATCAGACTAAATTGGACAAATATTTAAAAAAGAGAGTGACAGGCAGATACAAACCAACCCTTTGTCTGCCTCTCTGTCCTCCTCCGTCACATCAGTCTATTTCTAGTGAAACTACACTCTATTTTCAGAACAGCAGCACGGCACAGCAGGGCTGTCTGTGCATGTGTGTGTGTGTGTGTTCTCATGACCCCAATATTTTCATTCTGCAGAGGCTAAACAGCTAATATTTCAATTCAATACAAAACAAACAAGCACTGGGATATTCACCAACGTCATCTGATAAAATGTCAGACAAGCCATGTTGACTTTTCCACACATGCATGGCTGTTGCTCGGTGTGTTTGTGTGAGTGTGTGTGTGTGTGTCTGCATGGCGCTACGTGCACTGCACTCACCAGTCGTTTGATGATCCTAAGTGTTGTGCGTTGGATTCGGGGGGTCTCCATGTGCATGTGTGTGTGCAGCACATGTGAAAAGCTTTGCAAACAGGAGGGCGACAGGCAGTCGTAACCCTCTCCTCCATACAGCTGGACCAGCAGGGACAGACACTGGATGGATTCCTCCCAAACCTCCTGGTGTTCAGTGGAGAGCTGCCAGGAGACAAAGTCGGTTCATAAATGGAGCAATGAAATTCTTCCATGCACCGTGTTTCTGTTCACGTCCCTGTAGCGACTGTGTATTTTTTAGCCTCTGTAAATCGATTTAGAATTTTTCAAACAAATACTGACAGAAGCATTAAGGATAATCTTTCCCTCTCAACAATGTAGATCTTAGAAAGACTATTACCTGTAACTGACCCTTTGCTAAACAAAGGCACTTAATGTTGTAAGTAAATAACAATACTTGCCATGAACTGTAATTTTTTTAATCACAAGCCAGTTTTAACCCTTTTAATTCGATTCAGGGATTATATTAACGCTGCTGGTTTTTCTATTGGGCTAATCTCCCATGGGGCAAAGGGGCTGCGCAGAGACCCGGGTTGTGTCACCTGCCCCCTCAACACTTTGAGACACAGCCACGCACACAGATGCACACCCAACACTCACCAAGTAAAAATCTCTATTGTGTCCCTTGGGAAGAAAAGATTATATTTGCACATTACTCTCAACATGAAGGCCAAGATTTTACTCTTATCTTTTGTTTTTTAGACAAAATCAAATTCTTGCAGATTTAAAAGCCTCTTCTGCAGACGTTTAGAATTACTATAATAAACAGTAGAAAATGTTTTTTGGTAATTTAGAACACTTATTTATATCAGCGGAACAAGCAATGTGAGAGAGGTAAAGAGCATATAACGTTCCCACTCTCATTTCACATGCAGCCCAGAAATCGTTTGAAAGTGCATAACGAGCATTTTGTCTCTGAGGATAGTTTACTGCACTGCTTGACTAACTGCATTACCACAGTATACACCCTCCTCAGGCAGAAAGTTAACTAAGGAAGAACTTTTAAATGAGCTTGATCAGCAGTGATGCTGTTTACAGGGCAGTCAGACACGGGAGCAAAGAGGAACTAATTACGCCACAGTGGCTTACGGTTTACCAATTGTTCTTAACCAGCGTTAAAGAACATCTGTCTTATTTTAGCTTTGGATGGAAACTAATTTCCACTGAGAGTGATGTTATATATAAAAGACAGAGGCAGGAGGGCAAAAAGACTATAATGGCTAAATTCAGCATACAGTGCCATTTTCAATGAAGGTAGTCATATATATCATTGGTCAGGACTGCTAATAACTCAAGTATTACATGGTGTAGAAACCATGACCAGATACGTATTTCAAATTCAACATAACACAACACATAACCAGACAAATAGACAAGCTCTCTCTCTCTCTCTCTCTCTCTCTCTTTCTCTCTCTCACGCATGCTCGACACGCACGCACGCACGCGCACACACACACACTTCATTGAGTATCGGCCTCACCATGTGAATGAGGTGCGTGCTGAGCTGGCTCAGGGGTCTGTTTTCCAGGAGGAGCTTCTCTGCTGCCTCAGTTTCTACTGCCGGGCAAGATCGCCTCTGGCTCCACCCAAACACACAAACACACACACATAGAGACACACACATTAAATCATTCATGGAGATTTGACAGTCAATAGTGATGGATCCATGGACCTAACACGACAGACTCTGACAGATGGAGAGATCACTGACAACTAGATTAAGACAGGAAACCGTCGTCTGGATATTCTGTGTTAATTTAACTCTTCTTCAATACAAGATGTAAAGACAACCACGGTTGAACTCATTTTATTTAATTGCTTTAGCTTTATTTTGTCATATTAAGATATGTTTGCGTCTCTTTAATACTGCAGTCCCCCTTTTCCTGCCCCCATCTCATTAGCACCTCTGTCCCTCACTTATTTTAGTTCAGTTCATGCCTACAGTGGAACTTCAGGCCAATTAGCTCTGGAATAATGTGATTAATACTAGCGCATATTTTCCATCTCTCTTCCCCGAGTTACTTCTTCTCCATTATGCTCGCTCTCTCTTCTTCTCAGTTTTCTTCTGTAGAGTATATAATCTCTGACTTTCTCCCTCTCTTGACCAACGGAGTAATAGTTTGGGAGAGTGTTCTAGTCACGTCCTCTCTCCTTATCAGACCTTATTACCCAAATGAATTTGGTTTGGGCAGAAGTTTTATTTTTAATGAGCTTTGGATTCCTGGCAGAATTGATTTCTGCTGCACATTCAGCTGGCTCTCTTCTTCTGTGTCTCTTCCTTCTCTCATCCATACCTCACTGCTTCCTCCTTCCTCTTCCACCCAGTCCTATACCCTTCCTCCCCTTTAGTCCCCACACCCCCCTGTCCAGGCATTAATATGTATGCATTGGGTTGGGGTGCACACTATGGGGAGACAGGGGCTGTGTGTGTGTGTGTACATATGAGCATACGTGTGTGTGTGTGCGTAAAGGGAGGCGAGCTAAGGACAAAGCCACTGGTGATAATGAGGCCGCAGGGACATAGCCAGACAGGCCGCTCCGTGTATGCCTTTGTGTGTGTGTGTGTGTGTGTGTGTGTCCCAGGGACTTGGGACCACATCCTCGTTCTCCTGAGTCCACAACTTCAATATTGCAGTTGCTTAAACCTGCCAGCTTCAACTGACCACATCAATGCTCACACATACACACACACATACAGCCATGCCTTCAGGGACACGGTGCAAGGGCAACATTTTGAGGGAATTGATTTTGTGATTCTGTTGCTGGTTCTGTGGTCAACAAAGATGAAATTTCTAAATAGATGTGGGAAAAAGACCAGCCTATAAGGGGCACTTCAACATGATACAGCAAAACAGCTGACACATGGTAACGTTTGTTTAAAATGTTCAAATGTCATGGCATTCTAAGGATTTTTTTGCATGGACCGTGGCTTTTAAGAATTATATAATACAAAGGATATTGGTTTGTAAGTTAATAATAGCTAAATGTTTGCTCTCGATACATTTTGAGGTAGTCAGTAAAGCAGATGACAACAAAGCTGAGATCACATCAACATTAACTATTTCAAACAGGAACGAATGGCCAATGAGACTGCTAGTGTGTGAGTGGACGTACCTGCAGAGCGCAGCGGATGACAGCAGATGTTTGTTTTAGGATGGTGTGAAGCAGTTCGAGGAGGGCTTGCAATACAGGATGGCTGACCTTCCTCCCAGCGTGTCCCTCTCCATCCATGTAGACCAGCGCAGCCTCTGAGAGGGTGATCACCACCACCTCCGTTAGGCCTGTACAGAAGAGGAAAAGTCAATGGAGAAAGTTTTAAAGGATTGTGACTTGTTTTTGTTACCACGGCTTACGTTTTACAATCTGGTAAACCGCCAATCTCCAACTTGTTTCCTATAAAAAACGGAACTTGTATAATTAAACTTGCTGAGAGACAATTATAGAACCAAATTGTTACCATACAATAGCAGACATAATTATTTAGACTCTGTTTGTGTGTGTCAGAAGAGGCATGATGTCGGTGCAGTGGATCAAATGTTGACAAATGTATGCACAGGTGAACCTTAATTTAGTCACTGAGAAACAGGTAGTAAGTTACCCTCAGCTCATGAGCTACATGTTCGTCTACAGTCTACACTAACCTGACGCGCCAGATGGTATTTGTAAAATATGGATGTAGTCTCAGTTGGTTTTAAACGGGTGAGTCCAAAAAGTTATAGAGACCAGAAAAAAGTAAAGTAAATGCAGTATTTTCTGCTGTAAAGTTGGCCATTTTAACACGTTTATGGGAATCTTCTCGCATTAGGAGGCAGGCTCAGGTGGTCATTTGAAGAATTGATATTTTTTGGCAATTCCACACTTCATTTGTTAGCCCAGAGGTTGCTGCTCCTTTCTGACACTGACCCATCTGAGATGCCTTCATTGAATATTCACCCAAATCTCTTCATGGGCTGCCAGATTGGTCCAAACTCTGACATACAGAACAGTTTTGCATTACTTGTTGCCCGACAACAAGGATTTTTGTGTGAGATCTGATCACATATGATCTTGTGACATCGCAGGCTGCCATGCAAGGTGGGGTCCACTTTGCATGGCAGCTCGGTCGGTATCTTCTTGATTCAGTACATGGGAATCTACTCCAGTCCGCTGTACGTGTGTGTGTGATAAGTTATAGCATGGGAGCAGTGTAAAGTTATTCTATAAGATTTTTCAACAATTCACGGTACGTGCGTTAAGGACTGAGCCTTGGTATGTGCTCTTTCTTAGGTTCTTTTGTAGAAAATTACATTTTCTCAACTCCTTGCATATCCATTACATAGCTAAGTGCATAGGGATGTTGTACACACTTGGTCATGAAATAAAATACATATTCTGTTGGAAAGATCTCTAATTACAATTAGAAAATCATCACAAAAAACTCAACCCCTAGACTCCAAAAACTATAAATAAAAAACAGTCTCTCTCCTGCATTTATGCCGGAAGTACATAGAATAATATACCTCGGCCTAATATGAGTAAACCTCGCTGGTTGAACTCCACAGCGGATCAACGGCCCCTCTACATGGAGAGGGACAGTCTCCTGTGGTTCGATAGCAATGCTTGTCACGTATTTGCCCCGCAGAGAAAAGTAGCAGAATTTGAAATTTCACTTTTAAAACAAAATCGGGGCTGTGTAAATTGAATGAATCTGTGAAAATCAATAGTTGATAGTACAAGCACACAAAGTTCACAGTCAGTAGGGAACACAAACAGCAAAAAAGACATCCTAATTCAGGTGATAATCTAGAAATACATTCTGTTCTCGTCTTCCTTCCCTCCATCCTTCCCTAGACAATTATCTAACCCTAGCTAAGTCATGAATAAATAGCTCTTACTAAGTAGAAAACCATGTTCCTATGCTTAGTAAATTCAACATCACATGGAAGATACTCTGCATTTTGCAGCTGGATTTGTGTAGTAGGTAGGGTTGTCACAATACCAAAATTATGACTTTGATACTATACCTGCCAAAATATTACGGTACCCGATACTTAGGATACGATACCACAAATAGGTTAATGGAATATATTTATCTATGATAGTAATAAATAAAACATCTGTAAGGTTCCTTTTTTTACCTGATATCTGTTTGACTGTCTGTGGGATGAACAATGCTTTATTTACTTGCATAGTTTGATATTCTCACATTCATATTTCCTTATAGATAAACAGGATTAGGTGAAGATCCACCCTCAGGCTCCACAAGCATGTAGCCTATTGCATCAAGTGTGTATTATTTGGTACAATTTTGTGTGCATTCTGACCTCATGACCATATAGGCCCACATGAGGCCCTGTAGGCCCTACAGTGAAATTGTAGGTTATTTTGCATGTATATATTTCTGCTGGACTATTCAGGAACTTTTTTGGGGTCTTGCTTTGTCTTGTGTTGATTGATGTTTGACTGTGTTAGGAAAGTTGTTGTCAAGCTAGCCAACAAAGCTACAGGGCTGCCAACTCTCACGGTTTCCCCGTGTGACACGCGTGTTTCCATGTTTTCACACGCACTCACGCCACACATCCAATTTACAGTGCATCCGGAAAGTATTCACAGCGCTTCACTTTTTCCACATTTTGTTATGTCACAGCCTTATTCCAAAATTGATTAAATTGATTATTTTCCTCAACATTCTACACACAACAACCCATAATGACAAAGTGAAAACTGTTTTTTGCAAATTTTTGCAAATCTGTTAAAAATAAAGAACAAAAACATAACATGTACATAAGTATTCACAGCCTTTGCTCAATACTTTGTTGAAGCACCTTTGGCAGCAATTTCAGCCTCAAGTCTTCTTGGGTACGTGTTTTCAACGTATGGGTACCGCGATACCTTTCTAGTACCGGTACACCGTGCAACACTAGTAGTAGGTAATTGTCGCCTGTCCCTGAAGTGTTCTCACCACACATCCATGCAAGCAAAAACTATGTAGTTTCTTCCCATACATTATTTCCACCGTGCCAAAATTAAAAAGTTGTAATTCCCCTTTATTTCCGTGCACAGAAAGGCAACAGTTAAATACCTTTCTTCACTGGGGAAAACTCACCCAGTGTTATTTTCTATTTCAATAGATCTTTATTTAGAATGTAGACAGTGTGCATTTATTTTTGTGAGCGAAAATGCGACACTAGAAAGCTATCAAGCTAGCGTGCTGTCAGTAGAATGAACTGTTACTTTGTCAAGCTGCCTCATAATTGAATAAACAGACTGCTCTACTTTGGACTGTTCAGTCAGACACGGACCTCCTGTGCTGCTAATGTGATCCGACACCGCAGTCGTCTTGAGGGGAAAACTGTGTTCCAGATAGCTGCTCATGTATATGTAAATAATATTATACTGGTATGGTATGTTATTATGTTGAGAATAGTTGTCATTAGTATACACAGCTTTCTTTACTAAATGAAAAAACAAAATTACATTAAATAAATCTTCTAAAGGTGCCTGGTCTTAAGCTACCTTTCATCAGCCATTACAGCTTCATACGTAATCAAAACAAACATTGTTCTTTGCATCTGCTCATACTGAAACCATGCAGTATATAGATAGCAGTGAGTCCCCTTTTAAATAGTTTTTCTAGATATTTATATAGTTTTCTAAAGATTTGATTTTAAAACTGTTAAAAATATTTTTTAATTTAAGTATTGCTGGCTCACTTAAGAGTCAAGGAATACTTTGAGTGGAAGCCATTGTGCGTTGTCCTATTTTGGTGGTAAAAATAGAATCCCTACGATGCTTTGTGACACTATCTATTTATAAACCACTGTGAAATTAGTTCTATTGGAAATCAACAGGAGAGATGGATTAAAGCATTACTGTCTAAGCAAAGAAGGACGTTTTTGTGGGGACAGAAAAAACTACTAAATTCAATTTGTGTACATGGTTTCAATAATGCGTCATTCCCATTAATGTATGTGAAGTTTGGGTTGGCTTTCAAAGAGTAAAGAATAGTATGGTCAAATCATGTGTGCGACTAGTAGGGATTCCCACTTGTGGTCCATTAATTGACACATTTTTGGTCTTAGTTGACCAAGATTTTTTTATAGTCTGAGTCATTCAATAAACTAACAAAGAAATATCATTTGAGTGTTAGTTGACAAAGAATATTTTTTGTGGATTAAATAGTATTCACAAAATGTTGTCTGGAATGAAAAAAAAGAAACCCATTCTTTTATTCCCCCCCTGTTGTTGAAAGAAGCATTCTGTGGGGCACTCAGTTGGTTCAAGAAACCAACCTGACTGAACTGGAACAACAAAACAGGCTGCTTGTCAATCATTTCCAAACTCTCCCATGTGACTCAATCAGAGATTGGGAAATATTACCACATTACCACATATTATAATATGTAAATAAATGACAAATAAATGAAAGTGGATTTTTGCAACATAAAATTATATTTCAGAAATATATAATTACATAAAGATATAACAAATCAGTGTACCTTATGATTGCTATTTTGTAACATGATCAGTCCAGTGGCCTCTTGTGTGCCAATATGAAAACCTCCATATGGGTTTACTTATGCCAATGGTGCTTAAGTGATTAGACACATATGGGCCGTCAAAGCCCTGTTGAAGAACCTTTAGAGAACCTTTTCAGTCACCATTTGGGGAAATAACCTGAATCCATCAAGTCCCACACGTGCTAGTCAACACCGGTGCAGAGGCAATTTCCTAAAACAATCCTTTGAGCTTCTCACAAAAGGTCAGGAGAAACAACAAAGATTTTCTTCAGACTCAACACAGAGAGGAACCTCAAAGATTCTGACACGTGGAGCCCCTAAAGACTTCTTTAAATAACTAATAAGGACAAGCAGGCTTTAATCAACTGACACCTCTTCAACAGCCCAACACCAAACTCAGGCGTCCATGGGAACACTTCTGAACTTTTACATTTTCTAGATCATCCATTTTGCTTGTAAATGTGCCTAGAAAATGCGTTTTCAACTCAACTGTCCTGTCATATAATCAGATGACAACCTGGACTTTCTATACTAGACTGCTTGAAACTCATAAATCAAAACCGAGCCTTTCACAATCATATAAAATAATAGCAACTTTGTTTAGGAGTCTTTTACTCCCCTCTCTTCCCCTCCTGTATCAAATTCTCACTCCCTTCCACCTCAACATCTCTTCTCCCCCAAATTATCTGTGTGTGTGTGTGTGTGTGTGTGTGTGTGTGTGTGTGTGTGTGTGTGTGTGTGTGAGAGTCTCTCTCTCTGTCCTCATTCCCCAGGGGGTATTATCTCAGTCGGAGGCAAATCTGCCCAATTATAAACCTCATCTCCTCCTTTTCCTTCACACACATATTGGGCACTCCTGCATCCTCTCCGTTTCACACATACTCTGAGGCAGAAACACAAATACATTCACACAAGCATGAAACCCATCTCCGCCTCACCCTATCCCTTCTTTATTGCCATCGCCACACTGATCTGGAGTGAACCACAACTCCAAAACGGGAGAATTGGAGAGCAGAAGATAGCAGAGAAACTCAAAATAGAGAGTACGGGGGAGAAGGAAGAAACAGTAACAGAGCGACGGAAGGAGAAGAGATGGCGTGGCAAGATGTGAGCTGGGAAGATTAAAAAAGTAGAGGGAGAAGGAGGGACAAAAAGAGGTGAACAAGTAAACAGAGGAGGAGAGAGGAGAGGAGAGGGAGATAGCGTTAATTGCCCGGCCAGTATTAATGCTGGGCTGACAGTTTCTTGTTGAGAGGGAAGCTGATTGGGCGATAATGATGCTGACTAGTGAACTGCCGCACTGCTGACCCAATGAAAACAGCAGTGGAAGGGTTGATAGCGGTTTTGTGAAGTCAGGGCGTGCAGAGGAAAAGATGGACAGACAGAATGAGACACAGAATAATGAGCGACCGGGGAGATAGAAATGCAAACAGTCCTAAATAGTAATCAGAGAAAGCAAGTATTATTGTGTTACACTTTCACTGCAGCTGAGAGTTGAAATTACAGCGTTGGACTGCGGGTCCTGACACATTTGCATATACACACGTGCGCACACGCACACACACACAAACAAACACGCAGGCATCAGTGTATGTAAATGTTGTCTTGCACTGTGACTGTACCATACACACCCGAGCTAATCCTAATATTATAATAGCTGGGGGGGACAAAACGACATTATGTGCCTCATTGCCTGTGCCTTGTGAAACACACAGTGTTTGACTAAGCATTATGCTGCAGCAGCACAGCAGGGGAAAACAAGAGGTCAACAGGCAACACCACGATTAATAATGCTTGCAGAGTAGATGTACAAAATCCACACTCTGCTGTTGAAGGGTCAATGACAGACAGGCCTCTAGGACTCACTTATAATGGTACTCGGGTAAGGGACAGTACAAATCAAGAAAGTTGGTTTTCAAAGGAGAGGTATGTTCCCTCTCTTGTGTAGACGTACTGTACCTTGTTGGTATTGTGTCTCCAGATCCAAGACTGTGTCTCCACACAGATTACACAGCAAGGCGATGGCATTCTGGACCACCCCACTGGTAACACTACTACTGTGGGCCTGGAGAAGGTATAACAGGATAACTGGGTTACAGTTCAGCCCACAACATCATGTATTCAACAATACACTTACAGTTGATAATTGTAATTATGGTACTGAACATTTTTATTTTTTACTGTTAAAGAATACCACTTCTTTATTACAAAGCCATGCAAAGACAATTCTAAATTCAAAAGCATAAGAGTGTGAGGGGAGAAAAAAAAATCAAATCTAATTATCTTTATCTAACTTTTTATTAACAAATGAGAGCTCTAGTAAATGAATATACACAAAGTCCATAATAACTATGTGTGGACCATATCATACCTCAGAAAGCAACCAGCAAGAGAATAAATGGTCTTGATTATGATATATTTACGATCCCTTGTAATAGAAAACGTATATGTTGTCCTGGAGTTTCTGTCCTATCAGCCCAGTAGCAAGCAATTTCCAGTCTTTTTGTTATTACAGTACAATTTGGTAGTTTGTCAAATAATCGACAGGCGCTCATGACGTATGTATTGCCAGAAGCACAGCAATATTGGCAAATATTTCTCCACACCAAGACCCAGAGACGAACTTGAGAAGAACCATATGTTGTGTCTAATTTAGTTCAAAATGATGATGTGTATTAGATGAATGAGCCTTTGATAATTAAGTGGTTTTGAAGAAAACCAGAAGCAAGGCTGTAGTCTCCATTTCCTTACTCCGATCTCCTCAACCTCGCTCTTCTTCTGCCCCCCGTCTTCCAGAGAAAACCCGGTCTCCTTCCTCCTGCAGTATTTCACTTATCCTTCTCTCTCCTGCCCTCATTTCACTATTGATCCTCTCTGGAATACACCAACTGTGCCCGCAGGGTCTCAGCGCATGAGTGTGATCTGTGCACGGGCCCGATAAGCCAGGCTCATACTCATCATGTGCAGTAGCCTGAGGCTGAAGACAATGATATCAATTCACACCTACTGTAGACAACCTGCCTGTCAGTAACAGCAAATGATAAAGCTCATTTATGTTGATCTTAATGGACTAATGAGCCCAGAAAGGACAATAATGTGCATCACTAAAATCATAAACCTGAAAAATGAGCTAAGAGGAACAGAAAAGGGAATTTTAACAGTGCCTCACTGCCCGTAACCTTCTCATAGAGCATTAAACATTCCTTAGTGCTGAATCTACAGAATGTACAGTAGAAACGAGACAGCACTTTTAAAGTATTTGACAATAAACCACTGCGATCAGTCTTTTGCTCGTCGGGCTTAACAAGCAACCAGTTAAAGAAGTCTAGTCTGCTTCCTGACGTCCTTTCATGTCTGAAGCTGAACTACTTCATCATCCAGACAAATACAATTAAGTGAGTTTCTCCACGACAAGTGTGATCACCAGTGGCAGGTGTAATCAATCCAGATCACAGCGTTTCAAGCAGGAGAAATCAATGAAAACTTTAGCAATGCAGACGGCCTTAATAAATCCAGACATGACTGGTTCAGACACGAGTAAACAATCAAGAGCAGGGTTAATCAGGCTGTTGGATAAGAGTGTTTAACATTCTGTATCAGCTACTCTGGGCTGAACAAGCAGCCATGCACAACACTGCTTATTTAGTATGTTTGTGATTGTGTGTAAACGGTTTGCTTTGGTTAGCTGAAAACTGATTGTACTGTTTGTGGGTTCATTGGATTCGGTGTACGCAATCAGGGTTAGGTGAATTAAATTGTTTACTGGAAACGTTGTGTGTGTGCTTCGCTGATTGAAAGACACATTTGTGTGGGATCTTAATAGTGGAGTATATATTCTCACTCTATTAACCGTTCCTCCTCTCAATGGCTGACCTGCCAGTCAATTACACCAGACCTCTAATAGGTCAACACCACTCAGACTTATTTGCATAACTACCTCTATAAATGTTACACAGAGCGAGTTAGAGACGAAGGAGAAGGAGACAGAATACAACTGAGCTGCAATAAAATTCAGACATGCAATTAAATAAAACAGATTGGGACAACTAAGATTGATGAGCTGATTGTAGAACTATTCCAACAGACTGACTGATTAATTCATTGACTAGCTGAATGAGATTTGATGATCGGCTGAATAAAACGGGTGAATTGATTAAGCGAGATGAGTTTTCTTACCATAATGAGTTGAAAGACGGTTGGTAGGATCCCACTGTGTTTAATCAACCTGGAAAGAAAATGGGGAAAATACATATTGGAGATGAGGTAGAAAGTCGAGGCTCACAAGTGTATCTAATTTAGTAGAGGCAATTCACTGCACCGTTCGCCCCCACACACACCCACATGGACACACACTGGGCTGTTTCATCTTTATTACGGATGGAGTTCCGCTACAATGGCTCCTGTCTGGTACCAGTGGAATTGTGGGGAGAGTGGAGGAAAGGGAAGAGGAGATGTGATGTGAGCAGATGAAGTGAGAGGAAGTGAGAGAGGAGAGGGGAAGGGCATGCAAAGAGGAGTTGATAGTTGGGGAGAGGATGAGGGAAGAGATTACATATCAAGAGGAGAAAGGAAGGCGGATTATAGAGGAGGGAAGATTATTTGGGCCGAGAAAAGCGGAAGGACAACGGAGTGTAACAAATGGAAAGGAGTGAAAACAAAAGGCAGATGTGGATGACTCCATATTGAAAAGCTAGGAGAAAAGCGGTGAGAAAAGAAGGCGTGAAAGATGGCCGTCTATATTAATAATGACATTCGGTCTACTTACTGATTAAGGTTCTTTGATTTGCGACCAATTACTGTGTGTTACTGTGAAGCGTTTAGGCTGTAATGGGAACAAAGCCCGCTGAAGTCAGACCGGTGGTCATATGGCAAAGAAAAAAAAGGTTGTTCGTAGATTTAAAAATCTGTCTTAATTTTAAGTATGAATCAATCATAGCTTGCCTGGAAGGCATCACACCACTTAGAGAAACCTTAGTGGGAACTTTTTAGCAGCAAACAGAGAGGAATAAACTTCCAATAATGTAATGTTCTTCAGACTTTATTAAAATGAGAGTGCATAAACTGGGTAGCTGTATTAATTTGATAAAAGTTAGATGCCTTGGTGGAAATGCATCTTAAATGTTTTATATGAACTGCTAATGGCCTTCTTCAAGTCATACATGTTTATTTATCCATTACTTTTGGTGCAGTCCTGTACTCTACTTTTAACACAGGAATCAATACTAGTATCGTTGTATCTTAAAGTGCGCTGAAGATCTTCATCACACCATTACACAGTTTTATGAACCAAAACCACAACATCAACAGAATAATTGAGTTGCTGCCACCAGCACACTGATCTACCAGTATTCAAATGCATTAAAAAGTCTCTGGAGGATCCTGTAGAGTTGTGGACACTGACAGATTTTTGTAGTAGTTATTTTTATCAGAGTAAGGATGAACAATATATTAAGACTGTACCGTTTGTTAGTCCTTCAACAGTTTCTCTTTTCTCATCATATGAACGGGTAAGTGTGTGTGTTTGTGGGTGTGTGTGTGTGTGTGTGTGTGTGTGTGTGTGTGTGTGTGTGTCTGTGTGCTGTGAGGTGATGGATGTCCTCCCATTAGGAAGGTGACAGGGTGAGCAAGGAAAGGGACAGGCCCGGCCGGCATGACATGATAAACCGGACCACCTTTAAACGACCAGCCATGCATCAATTGACACAATGCACAACACCAGACCGTGAGCCACCCAGAGCACAACAGTCTATAACAGAACAAACACAGACGAGACAACCTTTACTGCATTAGTCATACATCAACAGTCGCTTTATAATAGAGAATATATCACGGACAACCACTTAGATGTATTAACCTCTGCTCTACTAATAATATCATTCTTCTGTTAGATATCCTTGTTCCTCTGAATCATCGTTTTGGATCCTTTTGCAAGGGCATACTGGACCTTGTTATTACAAGTTAAAGAATAACAAATCAGAAGATTGTATCTCAGCATCTGAAGGTCTGTACAAAGTTCTGCCCTGGAGGATCGTCCAATTATTCACAAATCACAGTTTCTGCATCATCTGAAGACTATTGTAAAAGCTTTTTCATGCATTAATTGACACCATAGAGCAGCCCAGTAAAACCGGCTGGTACACACAATTACAGACTTTTGCCGTGTGAAAACAACCACCGTGGTGTTATCACCTAATAAATACCCTTTTATCTGCCTAAGGGAGACGAAGGTGTACAAATGACGATAGCAAATTGATGATATCATGGCTGCGCAAGGTTGAGTCCATGAAACGCTATTACGTGATGGAAAAAGGAAAGAAAAAGGAAAACCAAAGAATCATGGGTTGTTTAATAAGATATAGATACTTTTAAAAACACAATGCAATAGCTAACCCAGTTAACCACCAACATTTGGCAGACAGACATTTAGTATGGAAAAAACATACTTGGACGCGCGCACACACACACACACGCGTAACCACACAGCATAACGTTCTTTGGCTAAAGGTCAGATTAAATGCAGTTGTTTGAAGGTGTGTCTGGGCTGTGATAATGCAGAGAGAAACAGCAGGCTGCCTTCCAAACGTTAATGTCCCCAATTTACCATCTAATTACAGCTCGGCCGGCTTCATAGCCACACTTATCTAACCAAGACCCAGGCAATTTAATTTATGATTGTATAACCGTAGTGATGGAGGGAGAACTATGGAAAGAGGGCACAGAGAAAGAAAGAAATGTGCACTAATGTTAATAAATTAGAGATGGTGAGAGAAAGAGAACGAGGAAGACAGGGAAAAAAATGTAAAATATTGTTAATGTGGGAGGAAAAAGGGTGAGAGAAAAACAGATGTAGCGAGAGGAGTGCTGACACCAATTTAAAAAGTTCACGTCACTCTACTTGTGTCAAGGAAAGAAGGGGATAAGGAGAAGGGAAGGGAGAGAATGACGGAGACGAGAGGGGGTAATATTACTGATAAGCGAAGTGGGTGCGTATTCAGCTACGAGGGTGAGCTCTGAACTCGTGAGGTGGGGGGAAGGAGATGGACCTGAAAAGTTGGATATTAATGAGGGAAGGACAAAACAGAAGCTTGTCAGCTTTTTACAACAGGTTGTTGTGAAGTAACAATTCTGCTTTCTAGAAAGAAGACATTTTGCTGCCTGGGACGCAGCATTAGTATTAAATGGTGAAAGACGAAATATTGTAACATGGATGAAACTGGACCCTCTGTTTGCCTACTTTGTCTCACCGTCTCAAAGGAGGTGAAGCATGTCGGTTCATCCTGCCCCACTCATTAACACCCCATAATTTCTACATTCTATTCTATTCTATCTAAACATTTTCTCTCTTTCCCAATGCGACCTTTCCCCCCTTCCTGAATCCCCCTTTCCAACAGTTTCCTACTTCCTCCTTATATTCTTCCTTCCGCCCTCCACCCATTTCCCCATTCTCTCTCCCTCTCTTTCACCCTCACCTTCTGCCTCTGTCAGCTGAAAAGAGAAGGCAGAGGGCCAGAGAATCAAGAGTTACTGACAGCCACTGCCAGAACACAGCCATCAAACACACATGAGCATGCGTGAGTGAATGCGGGCACACACACACACACACGCACACACACTCCCAGACAAGCTCACCTGCACACACACAGACACACACAGGGGAGTCATTTCACGGTTCCACTAGGGATCAGAACATTTTCACTGCAACCAAACCAGACAACATATCAGACATGTTTTTAAATTCCTGAATGCCAGTTTCCTTCAACATTATGCCGTCGGGAATCTTTCTTCAGCGACAGCAATGATTCCGTCTTAGCTTAATATATTTTAAAGAGTGCGCAGTACACCATTTATTTAACAAAGCTCTTCAGGAGTAGCTAGTGTGTAAAGATATATCCGCACAATATGTGAACAATTATGTCAATATGTCTTGACACAGCACCTTATGACCCGACACATGACTGATTAATAATGTAGTAAACACAGTGTCTTTTAGAGGGTTGTACAAGATCTCTGCTTATAATAAATGTGTGGGCGTTTGTGCATTTATCCATGCGTATGCACAGAGATCGCTTGTGTGTATTTGCTTGTGTGCCTGCTAGGACTGAAAAATACTTCAACACAAACAAAACTTGGTCTTGGATAGAGAATAAGAATAGCGGAGTCAAAAGAAGTGGAGCTTTCAGTGAGCAAATGCATTGATAGCATTTCAGTCAGAATACAAAGGAATAATGTATGTGTAAAAGAACAGGCCGACCAGCATCTGTAGATCAGGTTTGCTTTCAAGTTTCTTCTGCTGAGCACGGCACTACTTCAATGGCTTTGTAATACACAGTTCTACAGCACTGTACTTTAGTAGGTGGAAAATACCTGGGATGGTTACGGTAAGGTTACGCTGTGGTATTTCCATGCCTCAACAGTGTTTCGTGCCTGTGTGTGCGGTACCTGCAGATCTGTGCGCTGTGTTCAGTCATCGATAGCAGCAGTCTGAGTGCGTAGAGCGGGGTGGGTTCTACTGCTCGCAGAAGAGACTCATACCTAGACACAGAAATGCATGAGTACATATGCAACATATGGCTTTCACAGTGTTAGTAGTTAATGGACGTTTTTTATCATTAGGAAGAGGGGGGAATTAGAGTTACACACAGTACAGGTACACATAGTTGAAGAGGGAGAAAATCCATGAAAGCCAATGTCCATTTTGTGTTTTTGCTCCTCTATCGTGATGAGGACCTACACTTCTCTTCCTGCTCTCCACAGACGGTAAAATCATTTGGTGTCAACACTCACAAAAACAGATGCCACAGAAGGTGGACCAAACACTGTACAGCTGTTTATCACATGATTAGCGTAATAACAAGGTAGACACTTGGTTTTATCAAAGAGGGGTAAAGGAAATGTTTTAGAAGTGAGGGACACAATCAATAACACTATCACTGTCACAAGACAAATGGCCGGAATCATTTTGATGACATAATTCATTTTGTCATATTGTATTGATGTTAAAAAACATTACTCTTTTGACATACAGTATAAATAATACTTTTCTATAGAAACAACATATAGCTCATATTCAGAAAGAGGCACACCAACCTTGGGAGCAGATATTTACTAATGAGAGATACGATTTGATTACAGGAGCTTCCAGCATCTCTTCCTTCCTCTCGCCTTCCTCCTTCCTCCCTTCTCTCTTTCGTTCCTTCTGTCTGCTCATCTTCCTCAGTCTCATTACTCTCCTTGAGCAGCAGGACAAGACTGAGTTCGGACAGCACCCTCAAAACAAACACAGACCACTCCACTGGAGCAACACACACGTGCACGCACATGCACACACAGGCAGACAGACACACACACTAGAATGAATGTAATGGAAGCATTTTGAATCCTGTATTTATGTGTAGTTAGAAGTAGCTTTTGACTCAATCTTGACTCAGATGTTTCTTTGTTGACATTCTACTTCACAGGTGACATTTTACATCTGCACAACATCATTTGACAATTACCATACTTGAAAATTATTCATTGGATTCAAATGTCTACTGTAGGATGTTAATGGAGGTGAATTCAAAGGGAACAAGATGTTCAATGACATTTCATGTCCAGCAATTAAAATCTTGTTTACGGCTTCATCACATTTTCATCTCTCCCAACCTTAAACATAACCGTCCATCGCTCACCATTTTTGCTGAAAGCCAGTGTTGTCAGAGGAGGCAGGATGTCATCCACAAACTTTAAACACACAAATAAACAAACTTAGTCAAGTTGCACTTTAAATCCAAATGCATCTAACGCGTATAATTTTGCCCCATTACTCTTCTTGCAAAACGTGTTTACCTAAACCTTGACCTTCGACCAGAAATATCTAAACAACTCATTATTTATCCAAGTTGACTTTTTTGTATAATGCCAGCATGTGGTACAATTCCGATAATGTCTCTGTGCCGTGGAAATTAAACCACTCAGTTCAACAAGGCTTCTGCAGCAACAGAAGACCCCCCCTGTAGGGTTCTACCAGGTAAACCTCTGCCAATGGGAATTGTGGGAATTCTGTCAGTAAAAGTTCATATTCAGTCTTATGGCTTAGCAGAGACAGCATAAAGTTTAATTTGGTCCTGTGTTCTCTCATTTGAGGCAGACAAGTATATCAATAAAAGCAATTTCCGCCTTTCCTCTGAAAAAAACCTTAATATACATATATCAAACTGAATAGAGGACACTGTTCTATAGAAATACGGTGGGCATCAACCACACAGACCACTTTCACAGAGGATGAAATTACTATGGAAATGCACTGTTGAATGATCTCTTTGATCACGCACGCACACACACACACACACACAAACAAATGTAGTTCCACAACTGTCAATGTCCTTAAATAGGCATGAATCTGTAATGCATGAATTTGCATGATTACCAATATTACCATAGAAACAACAGTAATGCTGAGTGTCATTATATTGAAAGCCAGAGCGAGGAAACTACAAAGGATATTGTCCACCACTTAATGCTGTGTGTATTTGAATCACCATCAAAAGACTGAATAGTGTGTGTGTGTGTGTGTGTGTGTGTGTGTGTGTGTCTGCCCGCATGTGCGTGTGCGAAGGGAGAGATGCACTTTCTCTGGACTGTGAAGCATGGGGGGACATGTCCACTCACTGTCTGAAATCTAGTCTTGTCTATATTTCTGATTTTGCTCTCTAACATAGTAGGCCCGCTATCTGTTAGTAGATCAAAGATTAATCTGTATTGTTGTACGACTGGAAAGGATAAAATGTCAATTCTTTTTAAAACCATTTGGAAAATCACAGGCAAAGGGGGCCTTCTGAACTTCCAGTGTTAATTCTAGGAAACAAGCCTCATGCATACATTGTTGATCAGGTAATGCACTTTCTTCTGAGATACCTGCTGTGCAGAGGACGCTGTATATCATGAACCCAAAAATAAATTAGCTTTTGTTATACATGGCCCAGATTCAAGGAGCCAACCATAGTGGCTGAATGCACATTTAGAGCAATAACATCATGCTCAGTGACTGAAGTCTATTTTTAAGTTGTATTTATTTTTAGCCAAACTCTTTGTTGTCTACAAAGTTTACCGATATCACAGTTGACTGAGTTTGATTGACTCATTAAGTCAATTGGGACGGTTTGCAAATTCCTCCCCATCACTCATTGGTTTAAATTTCAGCTTACATAGTATAAATGTGTAATATATGAAGATGACTAATCTGTTGACAAATGCAACATTTCCCCATATAGGGAAAGCGGTTTATATTTAAAAAAATATATATAAATAAGGGAAAGAAATGGTGTTGTCTCAGAGGCAAAACTTACTTCAAACTTTACTTTGTGATGAGGATTCAGAGACGTAACTAATTTAAACATGAGTGTGTGTCCTTGTCCAGAGGGGAAATAAAAGTTAATCTGAGCTGGCTGGTGGGTAATTAAAGTGTCTTCCTGTGTTATTGACTATCCGTAGACACAACCTCCTCTTTGCTCCTTCCTCTATTCCTCATCTCTTTTCTTTTCTCTCCCTCCATCCTGTCTGCTTCCTGCTGCTCTCCACTTCCATACATCAATAGTCATTAAACACAATCTTATAGACCTATTCAATGCACATACAAGAACACACACACACACACACACACGCACGCACACACACACGCACGCACACACAGCATAGATGATGCTCTGTTGGTTCAATAGTTGATTAGTGTCCTGCTTTGCGTACAAGCTGACCCTGAGAGCTAAACACCTTAGAGAGGACAAGTGAGAGCTTTACTAGTATCTCTATTAGCCGGGTATCAATAGGGATCCAAAGTATCCTATATTTCTTTATGACACTCAGACTCTCGGTCAGTTATCCAACAGACAGACACACAAACTTACTGTCAGTGCTGTGTCTGGAAGACAGACAGGAAGAGAGTTGCAGAACTGCTTTCATGCATACTTACAGCACTATGATGTGGAGTAATGAGAGTATGGTGCTGACTTAGGACTTCCACAATCGAAAGAGAAGTCTTAATCAACTCTTCACATACTGCTGCACCTAAAAGAAAATTAGATCCAAGTTAGCTCCACTAACTGCAACTTATGTAAATGGTTAAATGATTAATGATGAAAAGATTAGGACGTGTACGGAATAAAAAACAAAAACAGATGGAAAGTCACAGCAGAGTTAAGTTTGGTCAAAAAAAATAACAAATATAGAATTTTAAAAATAATTTAGTAGCACCTTACCCAAAGCCCTGGTGAGATTTGTTTCATTGGACTCTATTGAGGTTATATAGTTCTATGAAAGAAGAGTGTAGAAAAGAAAGATAAAAGATTATAGTAATATCTTTTCTGTGCTCTGTGATGAGCGGTAGATTTTTCTTTACACACGCACCAACTTTTTCATTTATTAAATGCTTTGAACTTTCCACTAAATCGGATACTTTCACATGTTGAATTCAAATTATATTCACAGGTGGAGTTGGGGTACGACTTCAGTTTGTCAAACAATACATTCTTAATCATGATACTGAAATACACTTACCAGGAGAAATCCAATTTTAGCTATAAACTCTTCAGATACAATTTTACATCTAAAAACCTAAAAGAGAATCACAGAGACAATTAGTGAAGGGCTAGATCTCGATCTAAAATACCAAATGCTCATGACATTAACAGCGTGTAGCAACACATCTACGCCACAACAATAAACAGTACATTATTGACTTGAGAATATTTAATGGACAAAATCAGATGTGGATTTCAGGCAAAAATGCAACAACAATATAATCAAACAATGAAGAAAATCTTCTTAAGGCCCAAGTTACCTGGGATGAAATAAGGTACAGCACCACTGACATTCTGGGCAAAGTGTGTTTAAGCTCTCTGCTCTGAGCTGCAGAGGGATGTTTCCTTCCGGTCACACCTCGTAATGCACACAGGACATCCTCTGGAGAGAGGACAGGAGACATGGAGACACAAGAGGAGATCACAAGGGATCAGTCAATGGAATGCTAAATTACATTTGATTAAAAACACATTATACTGTTAAAATGTAACACGAAGAGAAAAGCACTGAATCACAATCACATCAATAATTTGCATTAAAATACTTTCAAAACAATTATGAATAAATATTATTGTAAAAATAATATTCAAAGTGCACTCATGCAATGGGGGAGTGTGTGTGTGTGTGTACCCAGTATCAGCAGTGCAGTGCCACTCAGATGTACAATCAGTAAGTCCAGACACTGGGACAGATATCCAATTTGGCCGGGGTTCTCTCTGAGGGGAGCGGCTTTGCGAAGGTCTCTCTCCAGGTGCATTATGAGTCTAGACAGAAAAACACACATGCATTTTGGGTCACTTTGTTTTGTTCTGTTTTTTTCACTCTGCTTTTCATCGTAGCAGTCAATGAGCTGTAATGTTGACCGCATGCATAAAAAGAAGGTGCAAGGAGACACTGAGTTTGGAAATATTTTATTCTTGTCAGACTGCTTCTGTTTAACGGTAATCAATAATATTCTATTCACAAATTCATAGCCAAAAGGTTAGTGCTGCTAACTGGTATTTATTACTAAGACACCAACACACAGGCACAAAAAGCATGGATGCAGAAACTCGCAGACAGATTCATTAGGTCATGTTGGTTAACAAATATTGATTCTAAGCTTTCGAGGGAGAATTGTGAAGCGGGAGAGTGGAATTATAAATTAATTTCGGTCCGCCCCCGCAAAGTTGTAAATGTAGGGGAAACACTGGAAAAGAATTACTCCCATTAATATCTTAAAATGTTATTGGACTTAATAACATTATAAAAAGGGGAAATGGATTAATTCCAGAGGACTTGTTATCTTGTAAATGTTTTCATTTTATGGGGGATGTTTTAGTCACCACTATTGTAAGAATCACGCGATTTGTTTAATGTAGCATGATGTGTTAAGAATGTATTGAGTCATCTTGTCTAGAGTAAGTGGTTTTGAAAAAGGCAGAAAGGGTTTTTTGTGTTTATATTAGAGCTGGGCAATGATTCAAAAGTGGTGTATTGCACACTTTTATTGTTGTCCTTTGTAACTGCAGTATTCCCTTTACACATTAGCAGTTAAAATATTTCTTCAATCTTAATCTAAAAACCGGGCAAAAAGCCATGGGTTAAAAATGCAATGCAAGTCGCTTTCGATAAAAGCGTCAGCTAAATGACCTGTAAAGTAATGTAATATATTCAGAGCCAGTGAACGACAGATAAAATAATTATCATTCATTAAAACTGCGTTACCGTGCAATAAAATAATTGTTGGCTTTAATGTACCCAGCACTTGTTTTTATGTTTGCCTATTTTTTTAAACGTAGATGTAAGGAGTCTAATCTGAAATGATTGTTCGCCTTAATGATCAACAATACAAAGAGTCTGCCGCCACGCCAGCCGCCCTGTGAGGCTATGCTGCTTTAAGGCAAATGCTAACATGCTCACAATGATGACGCTAACATGCTGTATAATATTTACATATGTTAACCATCTTAGTCTAGCTGGTTAGTATTCTAACAATGCATAATTGCTACTTAATACACTTTGCAGCCAAGGTGGTGAGGATGTCATTAGTTTCATATGTGTTTGGTCACATGATGAGGGTGTTAGCGCTCTGCTTACTCCCTTCTGTCAGCCTATTTGTCTCTCTGATAGGCTTCTGCTTGTGTGGTCCTCTGGAAGTCTTGCAGACATTTTTTTCCAATTTGCTAAATAAAGAGAGACAAACTTTCCACCTCTGTCAGTCGCTGTGGGGGACTCACACAGTATTTGCACACAACCGACCTACAAGGGGTCTGCTCTGTGTGTGTCCCAATGGTAATCTTGACACTTCCTCAGTGAGGGCTGAGCAAGTTTATCATACAGACAAAAACACACACTTTCACGCCACTGAGGAGCTAATTAAACACAACGCGCCTGGGTGAGAGCAGGACTGAGACGTGTGTCTGTGTGTGTGGTTGAATCATGCAGCGTGCTCGGTGGGAGAGAGACGGGCAGGTCAACTGACAGCTCTAACACAGCGAACAGAGGAAGATCAAGTAAAAAGGAGGGATAGCGTGAAAGTTGAGTGGTGGTGAGAGAGACAGAAAACAGACATGCACACACACACACACACATATATAGATATATGTATATGAACAGATATCATGCATATCTGATCTGATGAGCAGTATACATTCGCAACTGCATTGCAAGTGAGTATGGGGGTGAAACACAGGGCAACCAGCTAATGAACTATTTGAAGATCCAGTGAAGTTACAACATAGAGCGGCCCAAACAGAATGTCCAGGGTACATTTACGTTCATACTATCATTCCCACGGCTTCTGTGCTAGTTATAAAAAGGTTATACAGAGTACAAGCGCCTCGCTAACAGCCCAAGGCAGCGTTTTTATGAAGGAATTCTTAAAACGGTTCTTAAAAATACCAGAAAACTGCATTGAAAAGCCATCTATGGCCGCTTGTATGTGATAAATCACTCTCAAAAAGCTGCCCTGCCAAATGTGTAAATCTACAGCTGTTGTTGTATAACATGTCCACAGTAAATAAGTTAAATTTGAAAAGTCAAGCTTGTTTCTCCGTCTACATTAACCTGTTTTTTCACACCCATAGGATTCTAAAATACAAATACATACTACCACCACTACCAAACTACCACCTTGCACTTTAATGTGGACAGGAGAAAACAGATCTTTTAGAAAAAAATAACGGGAGAACGCTCAAAATCATTTACATAACATTTAGCATTACAATTAAGGCGTCAACATTCTATTGCCTTAAATAATCAAACAAATAGTTTAGTATAGTATATAGTATAGTATAGTGTAAATATAGACTCAGAATAGTCGGGCCATCGAGCCAAAATTACAAAACCTTGAACTTAGTGTGTAATCATTACAATACATCACATTACAGGTCATTTAGCTGACGCTTTTATCCAAAGCGATTTACATTGCATTTTTAACCCATGGCTTTTTACATTTTTAGGGGTTAGGTGTCTTGCTCATGGGCCAGCCGGTACTCGAACCATCAAACTTGCGGTTCCCAGCGCACCCTCTCTACTCCTGCGCCACAACGACCAGTAATCAATAGATTAAACTAGCCATCTCATACAACTGTTGATCCTATAGGACTGTGGCTTATGTTAAGTAATTGTTATGGTATTTGCAACAAAATGTAATTTCTTAATGAAAACATAATTTTCCAAAAACCTGGAGCAAAATCTTGGATGTGACCAACCACACTGTTATTAGATGGAGTTCTTGCAGCTGTGTAGGGGATACAAATAAATAATTAATGAGGAATCTGGCCCTGGACTGGAATTCACAAATGGTATTTGTTTGTTCTCTGACAGTTCACAGGTAACTGATTAGCCGGTGGTCCGACGGACTGAGTGGAGTTGTTTCACAACTCCAAATCTCAGTCAGTACAATTTAGTACTTGTATCGCACACATCACTCTCAGGCACATTAGTAAAGGCAGGTGCATTGTAACCGTGTTAAAGTCAAAATGAAAAGACTGTGACTCTTTGATGAATGAAATCAATTGTTGCCTTCTACAAAACATCATACAGTGTACTCCTTTCACAGAGCTCAAAAAATACATTTAGTTCATCTAACTCAAAGAGTTGTTTATAATGAGCTTCTGATATGCAGTAGTCATTAGGTAAATTTTCATACAAACATGGTCATGGTAAGTGATTAATTGCTAGCTACTTTCTAGTTGTAGCTCAGTTAATAAATATAAATAATACATATACAATCAGGCTAGGATAATGTAATACGATGTGTATGAGTGGGCGTCAGTGAGTGTGTATTTACCTTTGTTGACAGCAGAATAGCAGTGTGTTTGTGTTGTCCTGTATTAGTAAAAGCAGCAGTAGAAATGCCTTGGCTCTTGTTACTGTGGATGGACTCTCCAGACAACTCAGCACCTTCAACACCAAGTCCTACAAGGCCAGAACACAAAAATGAATTAAGCAAAACTGACTCTGTGCAACCCAAGACACTACACTGATGAAAATACTCACCAGCTACGTGATACAGAACACCTAAATGTTTACATGGTCAAATCCCAGCGAAGTAGGTTGATTCAGAGTATAAAGAGAATAGATGTTTGCACCTTGTCCTTGGTGCTTTGTTCTCCGTTTATTTTGTCAAAATATACCCCTGCAATGTATTCAAATAACGTATGCAAATAAAACGAGAATATTTTCTGTGTAACATTTCCCCTAAGGTAATCAGAAAATATGTCGACTAAGAGGCAAAAATTTTAATCAGCTCAGGCTCCACATTATCACACTACATGTGTACACACAACAAGCACACACCAAAACAAACTTGTGTGCCTACAGTTACTTTAGACATCCATTCACTCAGCAGAAACTCAGCGGCATTAACTGGTCGCAAAATTTGGGACTGGCCAACATTCATTACCATTATCATTATCACCAACACCATACTCTTTCCACTGTCTGCGTGGCGTCTGTGTATGTGTGTGTCTGTGTGTATGTGTAAGCTAACGTGACAGATTGTGCGTGCATGTGTGTTTATGGGGCGACACACCAAGTTAATTAATTTCAAAACCCAGTAGTGTGCGCCTAGCTGATAAGTCCCTCCCCACTACCCATAATGCTGTGCTGAAGAAGAAGGCTAGAGCGTGTTCATTCAGCCAATTAGCCTAGATACTGACACACTCTACAAATTAGCTTATGCGCATGCACACACACACACACACACACACACACACACACACACACTTGCACACTAACAGACAGAGTTCTGTGTAAACAAACTCTTGGACTGTCTGTCTTTGTGCCAGGGGAGAGAAAAGGGGGTTGAATGCATATCAGTGTATAATTAGAGCAGAGTTGAACTACTAAGTTTGTATGCTGGTGTTAAATTGGATGCTCAATGCAAATAAATTCAGTTGCGAGTCAATTACCTTTGCTAGACTCTAAGCTAAAAAACCTTCAAATCAATTTTAGCCCCACTGCCTCACCAAGATTAGCACTTGGCATACACGCTAGATGGGTGTCTTGTGAAAAAAACTAAATAGGAAATACATCAAAATGGGTTTGCTCACAGTTGAGCATTAGTTCATGAACTAAGTAAGAAAGAGACAGAATGACAGAGACCGAGAAAGAGAGAGAAAAGTATAAAGTAAATATTTAGAGAATTTGAGGCTGGTTTCGTGGCTGGTTTCACATTTGCTGTGTTTTAATCTCATTTAAGCAACTCCTGTGAAACCTGTGAAAACATTTCTTCTGCGTTGTTTCTGTCGCAATATAAATGAAAAATAACATTAAACAATATGGTTGTGTTTGAGTTGTCTTTTGCCAATTGATTTGTACTGTAATCTGTGGGTATTTGTATTTGACATGCTGCACTTTTTTGTCACATTCCAATGCATGTGTGCATAAGAGTGTACACGTACCTTGCTCTGTGCGACGCGGTGTGTATGGATGCTTGATGTGAGTAGGGCAGCAGCCGCAGCAGTGAGTAGGTGCTGCTGGACCCTGGCCCCTGCTTCACCAACACCCTCCAATATGGCTGCAGGGCCACAGGTGTCAATCACTGCTGGGGCCGACTGGGCCAGCCTTGAAAGAGCCTGGAATTGAGACGCAGCGGTAAACTTACATGTAGACAATACATGTCATTCCTGCATTGCATTCCCATGTGGATGTGATGTCATGTTGCACTTGACATCCGAGTGTTGAGGCAGGTGCTCAAAAGGAAATGCACACTATGCAGTAATGAAGACGACTTAGAGATCAACTAGAGAGATCAACACCATAAATCATGTTAGTATGTACATGTATCTATGTCAGTGTTCATCCATGTTTTTTCGAGCATTGTAAACTTACAGAGATGGCGGTGACTCTGACAGCCTCCACAGTGGAGTGCGTGAATAGGTACCACAGTGCAGACCCTATCTCCGTGGTAACCAGGTGGTGGGAGGGGTCAGAGACCACGGTGGAAATGTTCTCGATAGCTTTAGCGGCCATGTGATGGACTATGGGATCATCCTGTAAGACAGACACACAAAGACTTTCGTATCATATAAATCCAGTTTGGAACAATAACCAACCACATAAGTAAAACAAGTATATTTGATTAAATTAAATAATAAATTTAGGTACTGGGTTATTGACAACTAGATTTGGCAAACCACAAAATACAGAATAGAAAGTTACCATAGTACATCCTTTTTGTGTTTTATTAATATACAGATATCTTTATAGTATTAGTATTGTACACTAGTACACTGAGTAAAAAAACAAACTGACTACACTTATATTAATATTAAACAGCAAAAGCACTGTCAATATACACTTACACATTTTGCCTAAAAATATTCAAACTAACTGAAAATGAAACGTCTTTTTTTCCCGGTCAGACCTAAGACTAATCAGGGGACCGGCTGGTCAGAGGGTTTGGGACCATGAGTATAGACGGGTATTTTTTGGGTATTTTGCGAAACCCATGATACTTTTAAATGAATTCCGGTGCCTAAACGGTGCCTGAACTGAAGAAGCACAAAATAACAATTGACAACATTAAAGAAGGCAAGGCAAATTTATTTCTTCAAACTGAACAATATATTAACTGTTTAAATACTTCAAATATAAATAAATATTAAACACTTTTTAACTTCAAACTATGAACAATATATTTAATTACCTCTGTAAGAGTCGGAAGTGTATATATTAGTTCATTTGGAATTTGGGAATTTGGGAAATATTAATCATTACATTAAAGATTTATGTTCATTGTGCAGGGACTAAAGACATGCAACATATATTGAAAAGCATTTAGGTTGGATTGACGCTCCGTGTCTCAATGTATTGACGTCATGATTGCAGCAGCAGGTGCAACACAGAAGAGCTGTATGAGGCACGAGAGCATATAGTTTTTCTACCGTGGGACAGAATTTATTAATTGTATATTTAATTAACGCTTTGCTGCATAAAAAAAGAAAAGAATGAAACGTAAAGAATAAATGTCCTACTTGTATGTGCTTGTGCACATGCATCCTGCATTAAGAGCAGAGCAGAGCAGCAGCATTTGGCCTGTGTCCAAATGGTTATTTAAATTATTTTGACTCATTTTGTGGATCATTGTTAAGTTACAAACTTTAAACTCGATTACTGAAAAATGTCACCACCAAAAGGCAGAAATAAACAAAGAGCACAATGACAATGACAATTAGATTAGCTCTCAACGTCACCTCAATACAAAAACAAGAGAGGTTGCCTGTGTGAGTAGAAGTCGGTGTGTGTGTGTGTGTGTGTGTGTGTGTGTGTGTGTGTGTGTGTGTGTGTGTGTGTGTGTGTGTGTGTGTGTGTGTGTGCGTGTGCATGCATATGTGCATACTGTATGTGCCCACACACCTTATTCTGAGTAAAGAACTGTTGTTTGTGTTCAACAATGGCCAGACTAATGAAATCACGGTGGCCGAGGAAATGAGTTTTTCCAGGAAACTCATTGTCAAGAAAAGACAGGAAGTAGAACAGAAGTGATTGCTTCTGTCAGGTTATTATTGTGTTTCACTGTGTTACATCACTTCCAAGATATGAGATACAATAGTCTAGTTATATAACAGTTATAAGAGTTGAATATATTTTGTGGCAAGGTTTTCTAATTACAGCTAAAGTGAAATGTAATCACAGCAATTTATTGAGGTAATTTATGGTAAGACATTAAAGAAATAACAGACTTATGATACTCAGTGACACTCTATGGAAAACCTGGCTTTTTAATAAAACACTTTAAAGCTAAAAAGTGTTTTTGTTTCTTATCAGTGCAGCTTTTGCGTGAATTCACATCATCTACAATGGACTCAACGGCCATAATTTGTTGGCGTAGTACGATTATATAAACTACATATGTTTTACACTATCCACCTTCTTAAGGGCTCAAATGGATGGACAACGGATGTAGATTTAGTCTGTGAGTCAAGAGCGGACTGCCGATGCAGATGTGTACCCATCTGCCTTAAATACACTATGTATACACTATGCCATAACAGCAGAATAGTGGCCCTACAAAACGGTGTTCCCTGAAACAAAGACATCCTTTTAGAACTAATAAAAATCTTGGATCTCATATGAACGCAAGGATAAACCTCTGACATAATGCACCAATGGTAAGGCTGGTAACACAGCCTATTCACACTCCTGGGGATTCAAATCATAACTGAGAGCTAAAACCATTCAGCACATATTAATCCAATATAGGACATGACATCATGTATTCAACACCAAGGGACTACGTAGCGTGACAACAAAATGAATCCTCTGGCATCCCTGCGGGAACCAGTAGAATGGTCTGTTCCAGCATTCCCCAGGACGTGCGGGCCAGCACACTAATGAGCCCACGGGGGAGCACCCACTGTCTGTGTGTTTAATAGAGTGTAGCCCTACCAGGGACTACACCGAATGAGAAAGTGGGGGAGACTTAAGGGAAGAGAGAGGGAGCGATGCAGTGAGAGAGACGTCCCTGCATGTGGTGAGAAACAAGTAGCTCATGCAAGAAACTCCATCATTATGATGCAGAGGAGGAAATGCAGGAGAGAGAGAGGAAAGAGCGAGTTATTCTCATTATAATTTCTCCCAGTAACAGGAATAAGTTCATCCGAAAAAACACACTCATTATATTATACTCAGTGTTCTACTTGAACCTCACATATCTGGAGAGGCAAAGTGAGTAAGTGTCTTTCCTTTAGGGGTGGGGGAAAAAAATTGATTTTTCGATTTCTCTCGATTCTCTCTAGAACGATTCGGTCTCGATTCAGAAAAGTTAGTAATCGGAATTTAAAAAAAAAAAAAGTCCATCTTGCGCGAGATATTTGCTCGCTCGCGGAGCGTGAACATCCTCGCTCGCGAGGTTAGTCTCTGCTCGCGCTCGAAGGTGTTTTCTAGGCGCTCGCTGTTTTTCTTTTTGACAGTAAGGGGGCGGAGCCAGTCACCATGGTCTCTGCACCTGATTGGTTACAAACCCCGTCTTTGGATTGGCTGGAGTGATGCATTTCCGCACTAATGTAAGGGGATAAGAAGAGAGATAAAACGTTGTCAAAAAACAAACGCCCCCCTTGGGTAATCGTAGTGGACCGTAGATGACAACCAGCTACAACCATCAATTACCATCATTACCGGCACATTAAGAGCAATGCGTCCAGCTCGCAGACCGGTCCGTCAGTCTGAATCTGAATATCTTGCCAACTTTACCGAAATGCGTAATCTTACCTCATTATTTTGATTTTCCAAAAAGTCAATCCGTATTGAAAGTTGGCAAGATATTCACACATTTGGACTTTTTTCTGGTATTTTACAAATGCGGACCGGTCTGAGACTAAGAGCAGCTTTTTCTTCATTTAAAAGAAAAATGAATCTGTTTAATATTTTTTTTTACATAGGCTACTTCCATATTGTGTTGAAATGCAAGCTGCATTGGTTCTTGCATTGTTTTTATATATATTAAATATTTAATATATAATTATCAAATAAAGTAGGAAGTGATTAGCAACCTCTGAGTAGCAAACTCAGATTTGAGAAAATTTAGAAAATCGCGATTTTTCGGAATTTAGAATCGATAATCGGTTAAGAATCGAATTGTTGACCTCTGAATCGGAATAGAAACGAATTGTGAGGTGCCAAGACCCTACTTTCCTTATACCTTGGGTACAATAATCAAACTTTTTTTTCTCTCACATACAACTTTGCCAAGTCTGGACGTAAATAAATGCAAATCTGTAATTATATAAAATCACAGTATTTATTTTTTTCACAATCCAGAATTTCTTAAAGGCTCAGAGCCAGTCACCACACAACCAGACGGACCAAATTTAAACTCGACACTCTCTGAAGGTCTCGCAGTGCTCTTATGCTGCACTAAAGATCCTGCGTGACTTTATGGTTAGAAATGTAGAATAAAACGTTTGGCCAACATATAGATGAGTTATCTCAGAGATCAGAAATGTTTGTCTGATTTAACTGCTTCTAACTGTGTATCTCATCACTGATGTTTGCTATAGATTTGAATAGAATCAGAAAGGAACTAACATGTCAGCATTCTAAACGTGCCATGGGGCAGATCTAACTAAATGGCATACACTCTCATACATCCTAACTTCAAACATACAGCAGTACTTTTTTAATAAGTAGTTTTAAATCATAATTTAAGACCAATAAAGATGATTATGGTACTCATGCAAAACATACATTCTTTCATTTCTAGCTTCCTGCATTTTAATTAGGCAATTACTTACTGGTGTGTCCTGTTCAAACAGGACTTCTATCTTTTTGTCATGTTTCAACAGGACTAACTGCCTTCCTGCCAACTGGATTGAATTTTAAAAAATCTCCCTTTTTAGTGGCTCAGGGCAGACAAGATTTACCCACTTTGATCCCCATGTTAAAATCTTTTTGAAAAATCTCTGGTCCACATGAAAGGAGTTAAAAGCCTAGGCAGATATGGAACAATAAAATCCTGTCTTCAAGTGTCGATCAATAGATTAGTTTTATTTAGTTCCAACATGTATGCACCTGGCCTCTGAGTCTTGAGTAGAAAGGGAGTCCATCATAATAAACTGCATCACATGACTTGACACAGGGCTTGTGTGTGTGCCTGTGTGTGCGTGTTCACATGTCTGATGTGGTTTCCTCTGTAATTAAAGTCCTTCAGAAGCCAGCACACCTGGTTTTGAAAGAGCCCCTATGGCAAAGACACAGACACCATCTATCAGGCTCACACAGAACATCTAACAACCTTAATGGGCACACTCAAAGAGGCAGACTGTCTGATAACAGGCTGACAGACAGACGGTGGGGCATGGAGGAGGAGAAAGGGACATGTGGACCAAAGAGCAACAAGTGCAAACAGACAAATAGGAAGGAAGACAAACGCATGTAAAATAACAGACCAGACAAGGAGACAAACAGGTCATCAAAGTACAGGGAGGTAAATAGAGACAAAAGGCCGCATGGGAAAATAATCTTGCGTAGGATGAGGACAGGTTAATATAAAAGGAAAAAGAAGCGACAAGTGGACAGACAGGTTTACTAACATGATACTAGTTATCATCTGTCCCTTTTTTCTGTGCGTAATGGACCGTACTGTCTTTTCCTAAAAATATGCAAATCAATACAACACAGTAATGTGTGCCTGTGCATGCACATGGATTGGTCATCTCATGTTAGAGACACAGGGTAGGACCCATGACTGTTTTAGCGATACCCCCTCTGTTCTTTTCTCCTTTGTGGAAGATAGTGATAAATCATTAATAGGCTCACCCCTGTGCGTGTGTGTGTGTGTGGGGGGGGGGGGGGGGGGATTTCTGCCTTCTGGCCCCTGGCTTCTATCACACAGGTTTTCTGCTACACACGCAGGCACACACGCACTTTCCATCATAGGCAGCAGAAGCATCATCTTGTTCAGACTCATAAATAATTTCCTGCAGCTTAAGTCTGGCCTGGAAACCTGCCTTTCACTCCATGCCATTCACTCCCCCTCTCCAAGTACGTCTCTCTCTCTCTCCCTCTCTCTCGATCTCTCTCTCTGCCATCTCCTCTCCATCTCCCAATGCACTGATGCTTCTCTCTCTCCCTCCCTCTCTGTCATTCCCTGCCATCCCTTACAATCCCCCCTGTCCGCTGGTAGAACCACCACGCTCGCTTTGGCTCTGTGCCTCCCCCTCCCCCCACGACAGTCGACCCCTTCTTCTACAACAACGATCACTATCCCTCTCTCCAGTGCTTACTTGTAAATCAGGAAAACTCTCAACAGCAGTGGAGGGGGCTGGGGTGATCCAGGGGGTCAGAAAGCGCTTCAAAAATCACACCGCCTGGAGCACATTAGACTGGGTATTGGCGCTGTTTTTCAAAGCTGTCATTCGATAAACAGTGTGTGGCGCTGGATTCACATTTAGCATATTGGTAGACAATCTCCTTCTCCAGACGAACACTATATGCATCACTAAACATTGGAGACACCACTTCAGTAAGAAAACACTAACACCAAGGATACAGTTGGTCACATATCAAATCAACAGTATTCATCGTTAGCGAGCGACTCCCAGAGGTTAATTCGACATGGACAACAAATCACAGACTTTGCTGACTTTGTTACAGCTTTAGAGCAGTTAAATTCTGCATTTGAATATGCTACATGAGCATGGGGCAAGCCTTTATCTGAGCAATGCGCAAGCAGCAGCATCATCAGCTTTATGGAGCAACATGAGGAAGGCTCTAATAAGTGTGATATAGAACTTTTCTTTTTCTTATCTAGTTAACGGTAAAAAAAAAAACGGTAAACAAACAAAAGCATAAATGCTGCTCTCCAGTATGACAGCAGAGTGTAAGAGATAACAAAGAAAAAAGATTTGAAATGTGTGAGATGTACTTAGACCATTTTTACTGACCTACTGATTACTGATGTAAAACTGTAAATGTAATGTGTGTGTGTGTGTGTGTGTGTGTGTGTGATAGAAAATGTGTCTGTTTCAATGAGTGTGTGGGTAATACATAGGAATAAGACCTTTTAATACAAGTACAATAATACTTGACGGTATTTTCTGTAAAGATGAATAACCGAAAAAGAGTAGACCATTTGCTTCCTGTCTACAACAGCACACAAATTCCCAGTACCTGAATGGTCATGTTATATTTGTTTACAGTACATTAGTACGGACAGAGATCAATGGTACTAAACCCTTGTGTGTACAGAGTTGTTTAAAAATAAAAATAGTGTAGATGTTGCCTGAGCTCAGCTACTCTATATACATCTACATGTTTTTTTCAGCCTGCAACCCTTCAAATAAAACAAATTTGGATCAGATGATTTCAGCAAGAAAACACCAAAAAAGCTATATATTGCAGTAGCTGGCCAGCACTTAATGGCATAGCTGGTGAAGATAGTGGAAGAACTAGCAGCTGTTTCCATCAGCAATAGTTTGGGGATAAAACATGCATCCCATCAAACCATAGACCATTGCAAACAGAGTGCCTTGGTGGACCGCTAGGAGGATTATCATACATATCATAATTATGGTGATTATGAGTGACCGCTTGAAGAGAGAAATTCCCTGGCACATCTTGAAATGTATGGTGCTGGAAGCTTGGTGACATCGTGACTATGTGCAGGGCAAATGCTTAGGGTACAAGCTAAACACCAATATGCTAGTTAGCAGGTAACATGGCAGAATAACCTGGCAAGTCGCAGGGCGCTAGCTGGACGTTCAGTTACAGTAACACAGTGTATTCGGAGTGCTGTATATCCTGGTCCTGTCTCACCACTGTCCAACACCATTTCTTTCTTGGCGATAATCCAATGATGGCCGTGATTCATTTGCAATGCAAACCAATTGAATGGTCTCTGAGTGGCTGAGATTAACTTCAACATTCCTAAAACGTTCCTCAAATAAATGCCATTTCATTTGAAAGGATGCTTATATTTCAACAGTGCAAATATAGGTCTGTGGAACTATAGTAAACTGTGATATAGAGTGAGTAGCTTGTTAACTTGTGGGCCATGAGACAAAGTTAGACTATTTAGACTCTGTAATATAATGGGAAATATACTTGTGCAGCCACGGGTAAAACAGAGAGGGGGGAGTGGAGTGGGAGATGCAAAGAGAGGGAGGCAGGTTGGGTCTGGGGATGAGTGTCTGGTCCCTACGGCTAGGTGTGTGTGTGTGTGTGTCTGCGCGCGCATACACCCACAAGTTTTTTTTTGTCAGCGTACTCTCACAACTCAATAATGATAAATAAGTCAACTGGCTTTCTCCTCCCTTCAACCCCTCCCTCTACTCCTGTCACACATACCCCTCCCCTGTTCACCCCCTCGTCCCCCCCAATACACTCCAAGTGGTAATGAAGCAACAGTAGGTACTGGCTGACAACTGTACGTGCCAGAGTTTCATTTATATTCATTCTGATATAGTGGGCTACCAGAGCAAGACCCTTCTACCTCTGAGAGAAACAACACCCATCCATTCCCCTCCTCTACCTGTACTCTGTATTTATCTGTCTCACCCCCACCCAAAAAGCTCCCTATTCTACCGCAATGGTCCACCATGTATGAACATTACAAAGAAGAACACTATACTATTGTAGGCTGTGATGTGGAAGCACTCAGCTGTAGACAATTTCATTGAAGAAGTAAACTGAAAGTGAAACTGCAGGTAGCCCGTGTCAAAACCTCACTGTTCTTCCAGTTGCAATGAAATAAGGATAAAAAACGGTCCCATTGTAGACTGCTGAGGTAATGAAGTGCAGGGTGGGACCCATCCAAAATAAGACCAGGAAAATTGAAATTTTGCCAACATTATATATATAATACTTTAGGAGACAACAATTTATTATATTAGAATGTCACCGACGATAATACCAACTGGTCAACATTTTTTATTTTGTTAATGAAAAAACATGAGAGGAGAGGCATAATTAAAACAGTGACAGAAAATTAAATAAGAACAGCAAGGAAGCCGGCATATTATTGCTTGTGTTTCTGCTCCATCCACTGTATGTGCGTGTCTAGAGGGTCCTAATTGCTGCTGAGGTCAGGCTGCTGAGCAGTAAAGGGTTGTGTTTGATGCAGGTAAGTGTGTGTGTGTGTGTGTGTGTGTGTGTGTGACTGCTCTGCATGCCCTTGACTTGCAGCTGGCAAACAACGCTTTAGGCCCCCACAGCTGCCTCATCATTACTGTTCACAGGGTTCCCCTGCCACACACTTGCACACACAAACTCGCAGGCACGCAGAGTGAGAGAGACTTAGTCACAGCTACACAGGCACAGACAAAAAAAAAAAACAGACACACGCAGACGTACACCGAGACACTCACCCCTTCCCGCAGGCTCCTCATTAAGCCAGCGTAGGCGGCAGCGGGAACCAACCACAGTCCCTCTGGGGAGGCTCTCTTCTTCTCCTGATAGAGAGACATAGAAAGGAGAAGACAGGAAGAGAGGGAGAGAGGAGGAGGGGTAAAGATTGTGTGTGTGTGTGGGGGGGGGGGGGGGGTAGAGTGGGAGTGAAAGAAAAGCAGAGATAACGTGGAGGAGCAAGTAGGGAGAAGTGAGGAAAAGGGCAATAAAGGGCAAAGACAGGGCGGGGAGAAGGGTCACTGACTTCCTGGTTAATCGGTTAAAACGTCTTTCATTGCTATTTGTATTCTTAGTGAAATAGTAAGTGTTGGCATGTTTCGTTTTTTAATTTTTAAACACAACAAAATAACCGGTGTTGCAGGAACAGGAGGGCGACAGGGAGGTCTCGCGCCACAGTGCTCGGCTTCGGGCCATATCTAACCTTGAGGAACACGGCGCCACTGGAGGCTGTAACTAATCATTGTCATTGACTGGTTCAGAAGACAGGACAAAGTGGCTGAGTTTGCCAGGGGACAGATACAAATCCATTCCATATTACTCCAATAAAAAAGTTTCTTCTGCCATTAAACAGAAAGTGATACCCCATGCAGGGTGAGTTCACATCCTGTGTTTGGTATTTCCCTGAACTCCTGAATTGGTTGAATTAAAGATATTAGCCATCGCTGAATTTCATTATTGGGTTCATTAAGTTCATTTTATTCAGTGACGGGTTTCAACATCACATGCTGGAAAGGATTCCTTTAAAGAATGTAATCAGGAGGATCCTCAGCGGTGTTTTCTGTGGACTTAACACATGTGCTATTATAAGAAAGAAATACCTACCGTACCCAACTGTACCCGTATGGGAAAAGTCCAATGTCTTTTTTGTTTCAAACTCTGCCCAAAGTCAAATCAAAGTTGTTTTAGTTGTTTCTGCACAGGCAGCAATGCAGCTGATTGTTGACACTGACCAGAATATAAAACCACAGTCAATCTAGCCGTCCTTCAGAGATATAAAAAAGACAGCTCTAAAAATCAAATAATGACCTTTTTTGTGTTGAGTTATCAAATACTTCACTTCACTGGAGGGACATCAAATTGTCAAGTCAAGACTGAATCAAGAGATAAGTCAGAGACAGGAGGTCCACAGAGAACTACACGTTTTTCTAGTTTTCATGGACACAAACTCCATAAGATTTATATCCAAAGCAGGTAGTCTTTCAACAAGAAAGTACTTCAAACATCTGACTAATCACTACCTCTGCTGAACTTTAGAAGGCCGCACTAAGCGCTCTTTAATCACAACTCTTGAACTGGAGAGTTACTCTTGTAATGGAGCGAGGGATAGAAAAAAAGTGTGTCACTGTGCATTTTGGAGATCATTTTAAAGATCCAATACTAAATCACAAACAGAAAACTTGCAAGACAGTTCAGGGACTTCACAACTCAAGCAATGTCAGGTGTTTTATGTTTTAATAAAAGTATTTTCAGCTGAAATGGAATCGTTATATTATATAACGATTATATTGTCCTAGGCTCACAAAAAGCCATTTATATCTACACAGGGAGTCCGCCATGTTTCTGCAGCAGCACAGCGGCTCATGCCAGACCCTTTTGCGTTATACGTGATCTGAAGGTAGGGATAGGTTTGGAGAACAGGTATTGAATGAGAAGCGGTTCATAATGATAAAGATTGTGTTTTTAAAGTATTTTTATAATATGTGTTTATATGTGTGTTATAACACAAATATGTGTTAGAAAAGCTGTTCCTACCTCAAAGGCCACCTTCGTTCTCCAACATGCTTGGAAAGAGAGGGGCTGAGCTGAGGCGTTGGTTGTAAACTGCCACAAACCACTAGATGACACTAAAACTGCCCTTAGTGGCCAGAGAACAGCCATTGCTCAGAGGGAAACAAACGTGTTTTTGGAGTTTCCCAAAAGGCATGATGGAGACTCCAGTATTCTTTTTTATTTATTTTGTAATTTTTTCGAGTGATCCTTTATATTTGTATTTGACCAATTTCACCATGACATCCAAAAATAAAAATCTATTCATTCCAGTTTGTAATGACACATAATTAAGTGGGTTGAATACTTTGGCAGGGGACTGTAACGGCTCATTCAATCAATTTAGAACTAGTTTACCATATTTCTACCCCATTTTGTCACCCTAAAACTTAAGCAACATTGTCCCTGTTATCCTTGGTACGGAATCATTTCTGTATGTACGTGTAAGTGTGTGTGTTTGTGTGCGCGTGTTCAGTAAAGAACATTCAGCTTAGCTTTTGTGTTTAATTTTCCTAATGTTACTAACACACATTTGCAATTTAAACTACTGCTCTGTGCGACCTACAGGAATCCGATAATTGGAGCATTGTTAAGGACACATTGGCATTCATGAAGAAACACTGGCTCTTGCAGGAGCCAAAAAGTCAATGTATTAACAGCTCTACTGGACGTTGATGAGTTTCCCCACGGCTTCACTGGAGTATTAAGTGTAATCACCCAGCGTGATCGATTTTTGAAGGTTATCCATCAGTCTTGCAAATACAAATCTTACACTTAAATTGACTTGCTTGGCTAGATTGAGGTTAACCAGAAATAAATTGGGATCACCTTTTCTAACGAAGTCAAACAAAGCCTCCTTCACTCTCTCTTGTAATTTTCAGGGCTCGGGGTCAATTCACTCAATTCAATTTAGTCAGCATGTTAATTTGAACTCCATTAAATAATGACATAGCACTTAGTTTCATCAAGATTCTGTCTTTCTCACTGAGGTAATAAGAAATGTGTTTGATCGTTCTGGCATCTGGGTCCAACGTTTTGCTCGGTTCCCTTTGACTTGATTCTCTTCAGGGCATCCTGGAGGCCTTGCAGTGGAGGTTCCACACACCTTAAACATGTTGGGAGCTGGTTCGTGTCGTTTGCTCATTCTTTGGAGGGAGCACAATATTGGCAGTACTTTTGACTTAAGTAATGGCACTTTGATTGAAATCAGCCGTCTCTGAATAACGTTTTTTCAAATGCTGATTTCTTCTAGTGTGGTCAGCTTTAGCGACATCAAAACCACAAAAGGACAAATTCAACACCCTGATTAGAATAATGAAAAGAAGTCAAGCAAGAGAGGCTTTTCCAAAAATTTGAATAGTGAGCGGGTCAGTGAATGAGACTAGAGAGGTATTAAAATATTCTACATATAGCTGGAGCGTCTTTGTCATTTTTTAAGAAAACTTAAAACTACGAAATATCACATTATTTATTAAATGTGTGTTTTCAAAGCCATAATAAAAATATATGCTGTATTTCTTTTCGGTTTAAACAAATGCACATAGGTCACAACAATAGCATTAGTGGTTTCCTTTCTTCTCTTCAAATCTCTGAATTTAGCTGAATCATGCAACTTGTTTAATTTCCCAACCACAGTCAGGTGGTTGGGAACTATAACCTTTAAAAATAAATATTTATGTCAGCCATGGAACTATTGCAAATGTCTGCTTTGTGTGTCCATGTGAGCATGTGTTTGGATGCATTCAAATGTTCCCTTTAGATCAATCACCTGCAGTGCCTTTGCATCAAAGAAATACAAAAAGACAAATATGAAGAGACAGAATCTACCTGAGAGGCGATGAGGTGGAGGATCTCCCCGAGTGGTGGCAGCAGGAACTGCTTTATTTTGCTATTCCTCAGGTTCTCTCTCAACAGGTCAGTCAGTGCAGACACAGTCTGGAAAAAGACAATATGTATAGTATTAAGAGCCTTGTTTTTTTTATTGTTGCAAAATCCAATGCAATAATAAACAATGCTAAACTTCCTGTTCTATAAAACAAAACTTTATGGCAGAAACATTTACCAGCAATTAAATTGAACAAATTAAACTGTCAGTTATGATTTGCCAAAAAGGCACAATTATTTAATATGTGGCCTCAGAATAGAAAACAGGACATGGAAAGTTAAACAATGAGATAAACTTCTGCAAATTCATTATATTTAATATACGATTGCAAATATGCAATTACAACTTTTTGGGGTAATCTCCAAATCAAACCAATTGCTCGCAGGGCAAAATATATATTTTATTCTTTGTAATATATAATTCCAGTTCCAATCTTTCAGGCTAATGGGACATTTAAAAAATTAATAGCTGAAGAGCAAAAACACAAATAAACCGAAATCCATGCTAAGGGACACACACAAATACATCCATACACAAACAAGTCTTTTAAAAGCACCAAGTATATGCACACACATAAGTGCAATCATATGCAGCTACGAGAATTGCGCACGCACGCACACGCACACACACACACACACACAGTTAAGTATATGCAGACAGCCTTGACGGCTGACAGCTCCCTGGCATTAGAATCACTGCCAGCTCCCCCCCTCTGTGATGAGATGGAAGTTCTACTCCACTCCTCCATCTCTCTCGGTCTTCTACACTTTTCTTTTTCCATCACTCTCTGTTCCCGGTCCGTCTTTCCTTCCTTATTGTTTTTCACCCTTCTATATTGTTCTCTTTCTGTCCTCCTTGAATGCGCCATAAATGTATGTACATGACATCTTTCAAACATCTTCTTAATCTCCCCCTTGCTTGCTTTCACTGTGTCTCTCTACCTCTCACAGTCTGTCTGTCTTGTACTTTCTCAACATATCTTCCCCAAAAGAGTTATTCTTTCCTTTTATTTCTGCCCAAGAATCGTAGTGTATCGTAATGCGGGGCCTTCACTGAGCATGGAACACTGGAATCCTGAGTGCGTCTGAACAATATTGCAGATAAACTTAAGAGAACTTTTTTATAGTTGACCTTATTTGAAGTGTTTTGTCCTATCTAGCCAAAAGTATGTGAATGGTACATGTGTGCTGAAAAAGAAACTTGTTTTTCTGCCTCGTACTCACATTATTGCTCCCTGTTCTTCTCCCTCACTCCTTTACTGAGCTATAGCCGCTAATAAGATAAAGTGCATTGCTGAGATTCTGGGGCTGGTTTGAAACTGGTGTCGCAGCTGCTCTCAGGCAAAGTATTGAAAGGCACCGCTGTGCAATGAGCGGAGTGGAAAAGCAAGCATAAACACACACACACACACACACACACACACACACACACACACACAAATCTACATATTCCCTCCTAGAACACATCATCATTTATTCAGTATCAACACTCCCTCAATCACAAGCACAAGCAAATCCACGTAAGGAAACACACACTTAACTTAATTAAGAGGCAGTAACTGTATCCATAAAGTTGGATTGAGGTTAAAAATACATCCAATACAACACCAAGAAGTCTGGCAAAGATGAGCAGTAAAAGTATATCTCCACTTGGGACAGATGTGTAGAGAATGAACAGGTTGGTTCATTATTAGTGTTCAAATAATAATGCTGTATTTTCTGTTTGACCGTATCTATACTACAGTGAAGGTTTTGGATGGTCTTCATCAAAATCTATTAGTTACAGATGTGCACACAACTCAGTGGTTGTCATATACCCCTTGCAATATTCACAAATGCCACACTAGTGTCTTCCTTTACCCAATGCTCTGAGGGTGTGTTCCCTGAGACTGTTGTTGACTTTAAGACTCTATATCCCATGAAACACCTGGCACAGTGGACACTTTACTGGCCACAGAAAACTTTGTTGGAGAAAAGTGAATGGGAAAATGATGTTTAGTTGGTTTTGAAAGCGTTGACTCAGAACATTTTATTCTCCTTTAATCTATGTGAGGAGAGAGAGTGAGGGACAAAGACGATATGAGTCAGACAGAAAGAGAAGAGTGAGACAGAAAGAGTCAGAGGTGTGCGTGCGTCTGTGTTTGGGAGCGAGGGTGGGGGGGTTTCGAAGCATATAGCAGTTACCATGGTAACTAAGCCCAGCCCTGACACTCCAATCAGTAGGACTGCAGCAGGAGAACCCCTGCTGAGACAACACACACACACACACACACACACACACACACACGGAAATAAAAGTATGTGCTGTTGTATTGGTCATCTGACAGAATACACACTAAAACAGAGGCTGCCAATACACACACACACACACACACACACAAATAGGAAAACCTTTGCAGTCTATAGATGCACACAGTCAGAAACAACAACTGACTGACACACGCACACACAAATGAACAGCTTTGTCCTTTTCTTAACAATTTGTCATCCTAGGTTAGCTGCAGGGAGCCACGGACAGTAGCGGAAAAAATGTTCCGCTATTTGTCTTTAACAACAAGCGCATCGGAGAAAAACCCTGCTATGCCATGGTCGGCCATTTTGTAAATTACTGCGACGACTCAGTAGCAGAAGTGTTGAAACAAGTAAAGACGGGAAATAAAAAGACAAATCAAGAAAGAGTGTGGATGTGGGACCAGAAAAAGCATAGCCGGAATGGATCAATAGGAATAGATGGCATCGAGCAGACGAGGCTAGAAAGAAAGTAGAGGGACACAAATAGGTGTTTAATTCTGTTATGGATGAAAATATCAAATAAGGGGGAGGCTCCACATCTCACCAGCAAACAGAAGTGCTTTTATATCAGGGGGTTAGGGTTAGTAACACCGCTTGGTTTAAACATGCGTAGGGGCACTCAGTAAAGTATTTGAATTGTATGTTTGTTACTGTATAGGAAAATACTTTCATTTGCCAAATTATTAGGTACACCTACATCAAACTAATGCAGTCAAACTATTATTCAAGTGAATTTAATTAACTAAAACCAAATATCACAAATTTGCCTCAAGGGGGCTCATGGTGTAGTGTGATAAGGTTTCTCAACTCCACCACCAAAGGGTGTTTAGGGGACTTTTTTTCTACAAATTGTGGATTGTGGAAGAAAGGAGGGTGTTATATGCTGTAAAGATTGTCATGTTCGTTGGAGCGAATTTGTGATTTATTATACTGGGTTGTATGAATAAAATTGCCCTGACAATTGTTTTTTTTGGCAAGGTATACCAAATAAACAATATAGATTTGTAGAAGAGTTTCACTTGTATCATTACAATAACTATGAAAAACAAAGACCACTATGGTTATATTGTTACATGTTGCTGGTAAAAACAAATATAAATAAATAACTGCCTCAATAGTGAGCAGTTACACTAGCATTACAAACACCTCCAGTTGTCAAATTAGCAATAACATAAATCAATTAGCGTGTGTGTGTGTGTGTGTGTGTGTGAGGGAGCGATGGAGAAACAGTCATAAGGTTTTTAGTGTCTCAGGATCTAATAAAAGTTGTGTTGTCTTGTAGAGTTTGAATGCCCCCTGCTGGTACACACTAGTACTATAACGTTAGTGTAGACAAATCATGTTGGTCTTTCCATCTTCTTCTTGTGTTAGGAGAGATTCTCCCACATGTGGTGCTGGAAGTTTAAATTATGGGGGATATGCCCCTAAAAAGAACATAAGCAGCCGGACAAGTAAAAAAAAACCTTTTTATGAAATTAATCAAAATGCATTGAAGTGTTCAACAACATTAAACACTTATTGTAAATAAAGAAACATCTATGCATGGTGCATCATGCAGTTTTGCATTTTGCTGCGTAAATGTTTTCTGTACTCGTGCATTATTGTGCAGTAATACATTCTGTACCTCTGCTGGTATGTACTGTCACCTGAGGGTGTGAACCGGTACTGCACCTGGGCTTCTGTAGCTGGATAGAATATACTATCTCTCCTCATTCTAACTATCATCCATTTACACAGGAGGTTGCATTGGTTAAAATATAGAAAGTAAAATTGTATCTGTGTGTGGGTGTGTGTTTGTGTTACACACCTCAGAAACAGGACTGTCCTCTTTCAAATCAGTACAATGCACAGCCAGCAGACCAATTGTTCGGAGAACCTTGCTCCGTCTGGAAAATGTTTTTTGTTTTTTGTTAGAAAATTAATAATAGAAAATGAATTCATAAAACGGGATTTTCTGTTGATACCATCACAGGACTATCTAAAATGATTTTTAATCCCTGTCATGAAATGTACTTACACATCCCAGTTCGAAGATTGTCGTAATTGCTGGGTCAATACTGGAAGCTGAATGAAGGTGGGTGGAGATTAGAGAGAGATCCAGAAATAAAGAAAGAAAATCCAACAATAAGAACCCAGTCACTAAGAAGACATGTTATATATTATAGCATTTGAATATTTTATAAAAGCTTGAGTTAAACATTTTTAGAGTTCTAAAATATTGTGAAAGTAGTCGAGCTCACAAAATCTTTTTAGAGTTAATCAGGTGTTTTATCAGAGATAAATTCCTAGTAATTTTGTGTCTTAGCCTTAAATAATTGTGTAGCAAATAGGCATGCATCAATGTTTCAACATGGATCTGATCTAAATACATGTTGTCCTACCAGTGGTGAGTTCATCAGCCTGTTAGCAATAACTTTATGGCCAACTACACAGCAGAGGTAACACAGCAGGTTGAGCCTGGAGCGATTGGTTGTGGAGTGAGGAGGAGGAGGTGGAGGAAGGGGAGGAGGAGCAGTAGATGCACTCTGTTCAAGGGATGAACAAAGCTGGTAGAGGAAGACCGTCCACTCTTCATCACTGAGGGACTGCAGCTTCTCAACTGGAGAAAGGGAGCGAAGAAAAGCGCTTTTGGGAAAATTACCAAATACTGGGTACTTTATATAGAACAAAATATCATTTGACCCAAAAAACAAATGAAGATCAGTACCTGAATATGCTGGTACACAAAGGGTTTTGGTATCAAAACGCACTGGAGGACTCTTAAGAATCTGATAAGACAGAACAGCACAGAGTGACCCATTGAGTGATTTTCACACCACAATTCCCATCCATCCACAATTTGACTGTGAGAAGAGGTTATAAGGAGGGGCTCCTCCTCCCAATGAAGCAACTGCAGATGATTAAAAGGTCAGATTGCATTTTACACCCTTTAGCCTTAAAGGGCTTGTGTCCAATAATAATGTATCGCTATACCTTGGGGTTGTCCATGATTTGGGTGACAGTCAGATCAGAGTCAGTGTGGAGAAGAGCTTTCATAGAGGACGTGAAGTCAGTACCAGTCGCAGCCTAGGAAGAGGTTGTAGAAAAAAGAGGAGAGTCAACCTCAACAGGAGAGAACTATTCACCAAGCTCACCAGCAAATGGATGAAGAGGTTTGACCTAAAAGTTAATATATTCCAGTCTTCAGAAGAAAAACCAACAAAAATAAACATCAATAATGTGATTCGGTTGAGACATAGTGACAAAACACTCTGGCTTTTTACAAATTCTTGCAAATGAGTATATGGTGGCAGTAACCTGAGGTGCATGGGTCTGGTTTGGAGAGTCTGAGATACTGCAGCTTCTCCTTGAGGTGGTTCGAGAGCCAGCACAGGACAAACAACAGGAAACAGGAAAATAGTTGCATGAGGCTGATCTCTACATCAATTGGTAGAGCATAGTATTATAACAATAGATATGCGAGTAGCATATTTTAAAATGATGCTTCAACAAAGGGTGGTATGGTCGTTGGCACAGTCGTCTATGTCTCTATGTTAGCCCTGCCATTGACTGGTCGCCAGTCCAGTGACGCCAGATGCTAACTGGGATTGACTCCAGCCCCCCGTCGACCTCCTTGGTACAATCAATCTGCTGTACTTTCCTGATGCGTGTGTTTAATACCAGAGTGTGTGCGGATGGAGGATAAATAATAATTTGTGTAAGACTTTTGAAATTTACATACTTTAAGAATGGAGAAATTAACAAGGAAATCAATTAACCGACTGTGTAATATGGATTGACAGCACTGTGATAACTGGTTAGGGTGTGACTGGGGCAAAACAGGTGCACAGGACAGCAAATAGAAAGAAACTGAATACCTGATCAGAAAAATGGATTCGCTATTGTCCTCATCCACACCACTCTTTGGCTTGAGCTCTGATACATTATCTGGAGGAAGAAGCACAAAAGATACAAAATCAGATTGTACAGGGTACAATATGTCTGTGTGACACATCACATTTGCCCTGTAAAGGCCACACAGGCAGAAGATATAGATTGCGTTTTAATCAGAAAAGAGATTAGCACAATAGCAATTACAGCCGACTGGGAAATGTCTAATGTTTGCAGATGAGAGGAAGAAAATGGGCAGACAAAAATGCGACAACCAGATTACTGAAGACGTCTTCAAACAACTGCAATTGTAAGAATGTCTTACCAAGCATTAACGACTTATTGGGCGGCAGTGTGTGGCACATCTGCTTGGCCCCAGTTATCTTGGAGTCATCTTCTGTCTTTGCCACCCCACCTCCTCCTTTCTCCTTCTCCAGCTCCATCTCCCTATCCAAGCCCTGGATGTTCCTTGAACCTCCACATGTGTTGTGTCGGAGAGCTTGTTGGCAATCATTCTTTCTGTCAGATGGGCCGTAAATTGAAGCAATTGTTGTCTGTGATGAAATTAATTTCTTGAGATTTATTTCTTTCTCTGAGATCCTAGAAGGTGGCTGACTGTTGGAAAGCTTGTCTGCATGTCCTGGAGGGAAAAGGTCAGGGATCCTTGTGTATCTGTTGAGTTATGGAAAAAATAAACATTAACCAAAAATACTCGTATTTGATTAAATATGGTGATTCTGCAAGCTTGTTGGTTTGTTGCTGTAAAATACTATTGCATCACGTTGAGGGGTATTTTAAACTGTGTTGCCTCGCTCGGGGATCAAAGTAGACTGGGCTTGAACAAGGCTTTGACCTCTATATCTACCAATAGTGTGTGCATTTCCACTTTCACCAAGCAAATCTAAAACGAGTAAAATGACTGAAAAAACATATTCGTTGAATTCTGAAGGAGCTGGTAAATAAATATAAATATTTCAACCCACCTCAATTTAGCTTTAATGACCCCCGCACAGCTATGTATTTCCTCTTGGTCCCTTCCTTCACCCTCCTCCTCCTCCTCCTCCTCCTCTTCTCCTTCTTCTTCCTCTTCTTCTTCTCCTTTTTCCTCCATTAGTATTGGTGTCCAGAAAGGGTGCTCACACAACTCATCCCAGTTCATCCTAATTAACAAAAAAAGGTAAAACTATCAAATTAAAAAAGGGTCAGGCAATATGGAGAGAATTAAACAATAACACAGTATTTTTTATCTAATACCTCAATTTCAATATTGGATGATATTGAAGGATTTACAATCAGTGCTTTCACAAAATACGTACACAGAGATTTTTGATAATAAAACAAAAAAGTGACGCACAGTCTGATGTATCTTAAGTAATTCAATGTTAAAATTAAGTCCATTTTACTTTAGAAGCTCTCAAGCGGTCCATCTTTATTTAAACTAGACTAACTAGCCTTTTTAATAAAACATATTTTTAACAGATTGTTTTGTGACAACGAGATACAATGCTATTTGATATTTTTTGTTTAATTCTGGTCATGAGAGAACCTGACCGCTTATCAGGGTTTTTGTTGAGCAAGCCTTTCAGGAGATTCAGGAAGTCCACACTGGGAGGACTGGCCGAAGGCACTGTAACGAACAACAGAAGAAAAGTGATAAAGATATTTATTTCAAACATCACATCTATGTGTGAGTCTGTGTGCCAGTGTGTGTGGATCTGCATCACCTGTCTGTCTGGGCGGTGGTGGTTCCTGATGTAAGATCATCTCGGTAATTTCAGTGTAGCTCTCAGAATAGAACGGAGGTTTACCTGAGAATAAAAATATACGTTAATGGGTTAAGTCATAAATATATGTATGCTTATTATGTTTGTGAAAAAATGCACATCAGGAAAACACATTCAATTAATTCACATGATGCACTTTACTTTATACAGTGTTTCCTGCTAGGGCTGTATGTAAATGTGTGTGTGTGTGTTTGTGTGTACCAGCAAACATGTAGTAGAGTGTACAACCGAGAGCCCAGAGGTCAGAGCTCATATTGGTTTCTGATCCCTGCAGAACCTCTGGAGCTCTGTAAATAGGAAGTCCTGAAAACATGCAATTGTAGAGAAATTAGTAAACACAAAAAAATATTAAAAGAAGACATCTCTACTACTAAAATTGAATGTTTTGATGTTGAGTTTTAGTGAAACTGTAAATCTTATCCGCTTTTATATTTTCTGTCATTAGTTAGTAAATTGTGGTCAACAATCAATTAAAAACCCTTTTTTTTACAATTAATTTTTACAGATTTCTGTGATGTTGGTCTTTTATTTTAGCTATGATTATTTTATCATTTTATTGCTATTTTAGTGCATTCTCTTCATATCTACTGGATTTATTTCTTCATCTATTATACTGTTGTAAGGGTTTAACTCACTATTTTTATTGTAATTTGTTGGGCCTCACTGTTGAGCTTTCTGTTGTTTTATTGCCTTGCTTTGGGCTGCCAACACCCCTTGGTGAATTCCATTTTTGAAAGGTGCTATATAAATAAATAAAGTTATTAAATTACGGATTAAAGTTGACTTCTTTTGATCAGTAGGCTATCATACATTACACTTCTCTTTGACTCCTCCTGGCTAATCTACGAGCAATCAACATTAAGCTATATTAGGAACCAACAGGATTTAATGAAAATGTAATATCTCACCATTTAATCTTTTTCTTGTGTTGTAAAAGTTCCCCTTTCTATCTTCTTCCCCTGCCTCATCAGATGTACCCATCAAGGAGAAGAAATCCTCCTGTTTCTCTCCATCTGCCTTGGACAGACCGAAGTTACCAAACTTCAGAGTGCCACTGCCATCCAGTAAGATCTATGGGCGACAGAGGGAGGGTTACTTTATTGAGCTAATAATCATAATGTTGCTGTTCTTCTCGTTAGTCCTGCATACACGTGAATGTATATACAAACCTTAGCAGGAGTCAAGTCAGAGAAAATGATTCCTAATCGATGGATGTATTTTAGTCCTTGGACCAAGTCCCATCCAAAGCTTCTAACCACATCTTCTGACAGGCATCCATCTTGACCAATTATAGACTCCAGGGAACCACCTGGTAGATGTAGTGTAAAAAGAAAACAAATATGAGAAAAACCATGAAATATATAGAGAAAGACTGTTTTAAAGACCCACAATCCAATCTGGGTAAAGAATGTGTTAATTTTCTGAACATGAAATTGAATTTCTGGCATTAATCATATAAACAAGAATACAATACTAATCATTAAATACTATCAGTTGTAAGCTGCGGAAAAGGGCATTTCTTGCTCCACATAGCTGAAAATCAGCAGTAATGGTGCGTGACTTTTTGTCAGGAGAATTAATTACCAACCTGTACAGAGCTCCACCACCAACCAGAGGTGGTTACTTGTCTCATACCACTCGTAGAAACATACTATGTTTGGATGATCCAGATCATGACTCAGACGTACCTGGAAGGGTACAAAAAAAAAGACGTAAGTAAATGGCAAGTTATCGAGATGCTTATAAGCAGAATTCTCCCTAAAATAATTACCACCCATGTGATGAGTCAGGAATGTTTGGAGATGTATTTGCCTCTTAAGGTTTTATAATACAACTATACTAAAAGTTATAAACTAACAAAAAACGTGATAATCGCACAGGTGTCATGATATGTTCATAGAGTTGTAAGAACTATCCTACATGGTTGGTGATCTCAGGTCTCTTGGCTTTGTCGGCGCAGATGATGGCTACATAGTTGAGATAGCCTTTCCTTCTTCCCTTATAGACAACAGAGCTAGTGCCTGTCCCAAGTTCTTCATACAGGATGAAGTTCTCCATTTGCTGTGGAGAAGGTATGAAAAGTATTAAGTCTTAATCATTAACTTTAGAAGTTTTAAGACATTGAGGGAGTAGGGTTTCTCATCAACGAGGAAAGGAGGCAGAGAAGTATCAGACACAAAACCAAACAAACTTTGTCATCAATGCTGTGCATTGGCTGCAATGATATCCACTCTAGCAGAAGATACAGAAAATTTGAAAACTATTCTAATAATTACAGTCCGTAAAATTATTTACGGACTGTAATTAAGTTCCTTGACCGATAAAATTATTCGATTTGTCATTTAAATGGTTTTAAATGGCTAACGCCAAATAACACACAACCAGGTAAGTTACATTTCTGGTCATGATATCAAAATTCTGTCAAGAATTAATTTTTGTCAGACAAATTTATAGATATAACATTAATTAAATATGGTCATTTTCTCAAAATCTAGATATTGGTCCTCTTTGACGTGTGAGGAAATTGCATTTTGCATAATCATTATTTTAACAACTAACGCAAGCTATGCTACAAAATGGCTACTTAACGTTGAATGATGACTTCAATAACGGTTAATTAGCTTCAGAACACCTGTTTGGCTCGTACTGCGTGATTTGTGTGGGAGACCTGTGACAAAATAGTGTCAGCCAGCTACAACATGTAACGTTTACGCTTGTATAGTTTATATTAAATGGGCATGGTAGATATATGTGGTTCATTTTAACGATAGTTAGAGAATAATAGCGTATTTAGCGTTACCTAAACTATCAAGTTAGAGGCTAACGGCTGGCTAGTGTTGAATGAGGTCTTGCAACAGCTAACGTTAAGTGTTAACATTAAATATTCAAATGAACAGGCATATTTCTTCGCTCATGACAAGGTAGTCGTTAACTTTAACACCTAAAGAGTAACGTTAGTAAATGGAAACATCATTCAACTACACACAGAAATTTAAAAAAACGTCGTCACTATAGAACCAGCCTTACTTTAGAACTTACTTCTTCAACGTCCCGCTGTTTGTTAGCGGAAGCGAGAAGTGCCCGGATGGGTACAATTCCAACTGGAAGAGGGATGTCCGGATTTTTTAAAACTAAAGTAAACTAAAACCCAAGTAATTGGATGCATAAGTAAAGCGTTGAAAGAGGTGAATTATGTTTATGAAGTATTTCTACGAACATGCGATTCAAAATACGGGTCAGTTGTATTGTAAAGGGTGTTACTTTTGCCTACACCCCCTCAACGTGGTCTATTCCTACGTTGCTAGGATACAAGAGTCCCAACAAAAGACACCGCATGGTCAAGCGTAGGGAATACAGCTACAATTGCAATCGAAATTACTCCATTTGGTAAAAGTCGAAAGTTATTTTACGGTATTGATTAACCTGTTCGGAAGCAATAGTCTGCGCTGAGTGCCCTATGTACCCTCCACCATGGGCTATGTTGACAAAACGTTCCCCTTGAGTGCAGAGCAACCCGTCCTCCAATGCTGACTACATCATGCGAGCAGTACATAACACTAAAATAATAACTACATTTTGACTTACGGTCTCTTGCAATGTCGGCAAAAAGATGTAATCGTTGCAAACACTGTCCCTCAAAATGCAAATATCTTTTGCTCTGCCTATCTTATCATTTTTCTAAATTTTTGGACAGTTTCTCTATAGATCCTGCCCTATCTTGCCCATCACTCGCTTATCCTCTTGTCACGTGAATTATTTCTGATTATGGAATCAAACCTTTTCTACTCTACTCTACTGTATATGCTAACCACAGAAGATGTTTCCTCTTAATTGGGAAAGCAGTTGAGAATATTGTGAGCAAAAGACTCTGGTGAAAAATGATGAATTCTTCAAAGATACTTCCAAAGTGTCTTGCATTATCATGGCATATAGGACCAGCATTCCCTGGGGCGAGATATAGTTTTTTATGTCCATTTGTCCTTGAGATCAATAAACAACTTGTGTCAAAAGGCCACTGATGCACCGCCAGTTTTTTTTAATTTTTACTCAGCAGGAGAGCGGATTGTCCTTTTGTTTGATATTTAGTTTGCTAACAAGACAGGCCAACAAAGAACATAATATAATAACTCCTACGACTGCCTTATGCTGCTCTCCTATGCTAAAAAACTATAACTTTACTGTTGTCTGATGACAACTTTTTTCAAAAGTAGAACACAAGAATCAACCACAAGGAAAAGTGCTGGAGTGTTTTCAAATTTGTGAGCTATAAACATGATAATTATAAAGATTTACAAAGCTGTAACTTAATTCATCAAACAATTGAGAGTAGAATATTTGACTGAAAATGTTGGAATAAAAGTACAAAGTGGAAAAAAACATAAATGCTCAACTATTCCTCAACCGCCGCTATGTTTCATAGAGATCGTGGAAATCTCCTCATCGGATGAAATTTAATATTTTGCAGATTAACTAAAGATACCAATAGCACCATTTCTTGAGTGTTCTTTTTTGCCCTACAAAATAAAGGTCCTAATGCAAATATAAACAATTAAATAATCCATTCAATGTTCTAATAGAACATTGTATAGTCTACATACAAGTAGTCTTTTTTATGTGACCATCATCTGCCACAATCCAAAATGTATCATGAATGGTATCAACCAGAGTCGAAAGGAATACATAATAAACTCATGGCCTGTGTTGTATTGTCTTCTGTTCCATTACATTTGTTTGAATGACAGCCAGACTACAGCGACTGACACAGGTAATGTCAAAATTGGAAATATCTTAGACCTTACTGAATGAAACACTGTATCCATGATCAAAAAGCTTTCCTCCCACCATCATGACCATCATCACCATCTGTACACACGATCAGACAGTTCACAAACTAGTGCCTACGGTATTTATCAAAGAAAGTGTCAAACTCATGTCATGTGTTGTGAGTAGAACAGCAAACTCAAAATATAACAGCCAAGCAACACGTGCAATTTATTCTGAAATTCCTCACCCCGGATGTTCAAACATATTTCTTGTATTTGACTCCACTCTGCTTTATGAAAACACAGCAGCTGTGTCTTCATAAAGCTCTACTCAGCCCCCCTGCGAAGGAAACCGCCCGAACAGAAGCCACCAAAGTGAAGCGAGCGGGCGCAGCATGTCGCTCCGAACTACATCTGCAGGACTCGGCTGGATGTTCGGGTCGTTGATTACCTGATACCGGTTTGAGTGGAAGTGCTGTGTGTGTGTGTGTGTGTGTGTGTGCGCGCGGTGGGGTGCGCGCGGGGGTTGCTCCGCATGGTCGGTGGTGACGTCACTTGAGACGTCGGGTGGTTTGGTAGTGCGTAGCCATTGATACCGAGCGCCTGTGTTCGGGTCGGGGTTCCGGTTAAGCATCTTCTAGGTTCTCCAGCACTTTGTCAAGGCGCCTAACGGAGATTTACCGGATTATTCTGACTCTTCGGTGAAGTCTGCGCAATCTATTATACAAGCGGTAAGAAGTTTCTTTTCTTTGGGGGGGGTTCGCTGAAGTCTTCGTGCCGCGGGTTTAAAGTTTGATAATCGTTCACAGCAGCAGGTGGAGGGTTTGGTGACGATGTAACGGTTACTCGACCAACGCTCTGTCGTTCAACACGCCGCCTTTTCCTTGTCGGTTTTAATTCGTTTTAAGCGCACCTTTGCTCGGTGCGACTCCCGGGTCTTAACACGTTGAGCCCGGTGAGTTTGTCCCTGCGGCCGCCGGGCATATTTTAACACGATTGATAGCTTTTAGATTGAGCCGGGCCTAATCCTGTCCCACCGTCTGCCTCCATTCATTGAGTCAAGTGATGCAATCAATCCGACTGATTATCACGACTAACGTAACTGTTACGTCCCGGAGACCGTGAACACATCTTCACTGGTTTGCTATTAATGGTCGGAGCGATCGGCCGGAGCATCGCGTGAATCATTCTTCTGTTCCCTGCTGTCTTTTTAAAAGTTTTCCCGTTTTGTAAGTAAGTGCACGTTCAGCAGAGGGAAAACTGACACAAGCCAGAGAAAGCGGTTCTGATGCATTCACGCCTTTTTTTTTTGGTTGCCCATTTTCTCTTCATGCAATCTGTTTTCCGTTTTCTTTCTATTATGTCATATTGAATCTTCATTAATCTAATATTAAAACATAAAAGTGTGTGTGTGTGTGTGTGTATATATATATATATATATATGTATGTATATATATATATATATATATGGCTTTGCCAGATAACAGCACATGATCTGTGGAGGGCCTGTGTCCCGTCTCACTGCTCGCACACCCATACACACACACACAGAGACAGAAGGCCTCAGGGGAAACACACACTTCTCAGAGTGTTCAGAAGCTGGACCTGAAAGGACAGCTCGAATGTCCCACAGACAGACAGAGCGCTGACAGATGCCGCCCCCCCCCCCCCCACACACACACAGATTCTATGGCCTCTAAAAACTCATCAGCTTTCATTTATTCTGGAATTAAATTCTATAACGTGCTCTAAAACAGACTTTCATGTTAGTGTGCTGGAGCTGATGACCAAGGGGGATGGTAGAGATCTTATGAACGGACTGAAAAAGTCAAAGGTTGCCTTTTTGTGTCTGAATGAGGCCCTTAAAGTTCCTTTACAGCACATTATTACTGTAGAGTAGTTTTATGGATTTGCAGCTCTTTGAGTTATGGGTTGAATTTTGGGAACAATACAACAAAGATTAACACTTTGAGCAGAAATAAGAATGCATTCTAATCAATATTTATAAATACACACACACACACCACATTTAGGTCTTCAAATGGATCTGGTGTAGATTTATGGATCATATAAAATGCATGCTTACTCATCATGTACACAACATGCAACTGCCCCAATCCTGTAACCTGTCCAAATTAGTTAAGTCAAAGTCAGTCAATATACGGCTCACAACTGGTGGGCTATTTCATAGCATCCGATTTGGAACACAAGAAAAACATTAACAAAGTATTTATGATGCGGCGTATAAGTAAGTGAATGTAATTCAACTGTTTGAAGTTAAGTAAAGCTTGTAAATTTGCTGAGTTATTTTAAGCGTCAGCGTTACAGTTCAGCGAACTGAGGCAAAGTGATGCAGCTGTGTGAAACGTGGACTAGATGTTATAGTGAATCGCGCTTAAGACTGTCAGACTAGGACCAACCTGTATGTCTTTAATGTGCAGGTTCCCTGTTGATTTTCAGCTAAGGGCCCCTTAAAAAATAATAATATTACTCATGAATGTCCCTTGGCATATTTTGGCGCTGGCAAGTTTCTTAGCACTTCTATAGTCATAGTTCCGTTGTATCATTACACAAGGTAAATGTATTAGACACAATACATATTTATTAGATTGAATTTGTAAGATAATAACATGACAAATGCTACTATATAACTAATAAACGCACAAGACATGTTAGACAGATGGAGCTTTGTGCACAAGACAATTTAAAGTGCTGCTTTTTCAATTCGATTTCAGATACTTAATGTGATTGTAAGGTTTATTTTTTATCCCGTTATTCTTACATGTTTGAAAACCATCTCTGTGTTTTCCTCTTTACGGTCTTATCAGCAAAGCTTTGGAAACAAGCTGTGCTTTGGCACATGCACATTCGTCAGCACTTTCACTTTATTTTGTAAACACTTTTTTTTTCTATCTTCAACAAAGAAGGATGAAGTACGCCCGTCTTCCTTCGACCGATCGTCTGACTTGTTGGACTTTAGTACAATCAGTTCCTTCTTCTCATCTCCTTAACTTCTCTCTTTTTCTTCCTCTTTGTCACTCCTTCCTGTGAAGGCATGTCCAAATGACTATATGTCTTTATTAGGAAAACAAAGAACTTGTTTCCATGTGCATTTTTAAAAGAACTCCAGTGAGATGGAGGAATTTAGGAATATACCTAGAAACATAATACGTTTCTCTTGAATGCCTTTTCTTTTTGTCTAATTACTACTTTGCACCCTATGAACCAATCACATCGCAAAGTTCAATTTCAAATGCTTCAGAGATTACCTTGGCAGGAGAGAGAAGGTCACTTATATGACTATAATCAAGATTTAATATAGTTGAACTGAGTAGGGGGACTAAAACGCAAAAAAGTAAATGCACTGTA